ATTGTGGTGCTGGCCAGTGCAGAATTGGGCCGTGGAGGTCCTTCGTAAGTTCCTGGCAAGCAGACACAGGGCTGATCCACTGTCTCATCTACAGTTCGCCCTTCTCTAAGGAACTCGTCGCACGATGCTCCCTGGCCACGTGAGAACTGGGTGGATTGGACCAACCATCCCCTGACGCATGGCATCGCCGGACTGCAGGCGACGCGCAAGTAAGCTGCAAAGCTCACAGCAAACCTTGGTGCACTGCAGGCTTTGGTGCTTAGGCCGAACAGCCCGATTCCGTACCTTACGCTTCTCCGATCTCTGGAGCCAGGAGCAGTTCCTGCAGCCGAACGAGGCCAAAGGGGCGTATGGCTATGACTCATTGTAGCTGGGGCTACTGCTATTGGTAGCAGTTTTTTTGGACCTGAGAAGTCCATGGCTTGGCGATGCCGCAAGGTTTACAACAAGATCATTGGCAATCGATGCATCATTGGGGAGGGGCCCATGTGCTACGAGCTCCCAGTGACATGTCATCGAATTCGCTGGTTTGAGGCGACCAGCAAGGTGGCAGCAACGCGGAACTCGACATGTGACAGTACGGCTAGACTTCTCTGAAGCCGATTACAAAAGCACTTAGATGGCAGTTGGAGCTGCAAGCGCCAGTGTAACAAGCAACTGTACCTGGTCTTTTCAATAAGGCTGAAAGGTGAGACTGCTGGGGAGTCCAAGGTTTGTCTTGCGGGCAATTCGAGCGACTGTGCCGTGGAGACGAATGCTTCCACATCATTGACTGCCAGTCTCTTCGAAACTGTTTGGAACTCAAGCTCCTTGGACTACACGACCTCGCATGTGGCTTCGAGAAGCTTTTGCCATGCTCCTTCTGCAGCTAGTCCGAGCGGAGGCGATTTCGAGGTGACCCCGCTCTTGGCACGCAATGCCTCATTAGCCCGGAGCCAAGATGTTATTCCCAACCGTGCCTTGCCCCCTTCAGCTGGGTGGATGGAAACAGCAGGAACTCCACTTTGCATGGCGAAAGGTGAAAGTGCGCGAGCTGATTGTTTTCGAGTCATCGTCTGAGAGGTTGAGAGCTTGTCCGAGGCTGCCAACATTTCGGTGCCCGAGTTCCTTGTCCGACCTGTCTTCAACGTATCCTTCAAAGGCGCAAACGGCGGCTCCGCTGCAGACTTTTGCGAGATGCCCAGTTGCAACACTTTAGCTAGCAGAAGTCGTAACAGTCAACAGGAAAGACTCAAGAACAAATCGCATGGCAGTACCGGCAACATAGCGGAGGCTGCGAAAAAGCAAGCCTCCAACACTTCCCACCCTTGTCTCCGCCTTGTTCTGGGGCCAGGGGGTTTTCGCCTTTCGCCGTGGTTTGTGGCATTTCGGTACCGCGAAGGTACAGGCTCAGACAACTCCAGTGGGTCTTTCTCCGAGCTCTTCAGCATGAACCTGAGCCTACGCGACGTCAAACTTGGAGTGACGCTGCTGCAAAGCTGACACGGAAAGGTTTCATGCATTCGGGCAGATGCAGATCTCACCTTCAGAGTATGCAGTTCACCTGGGTTCTGAGATCTCGATAGCTGTCGCAGCGAGTCGAACTGAGAGAAGGCCAACGTCACTGCCGGCGTGGATGCATTGAAGTACAGCAAAGTGCCCGGCCCGCAGCATCTCGTCCACGAAAGATTTCTAGCAGCGAGGGAAATGGTACTGCTCTTCAGACTTCCACAACATGTTTCAAGCAGAACAGATCCGATCAGATGAATCACCGCGGAACTGCTGCAGCATGTGCCGTATTCGGCAAGGTTCTTGTCATCAGATTTCATGCAGACCTGCCGCAGCTGAGACAACCTCCACGTTTCAATAAACAAATTGAGGGAGCATCTTATCTTCTTGGAATCTGTCTCCGTCTGACCCTCTTTAACACCTGGTCTTAATTCCACTTCGGGGCTCTACGACAAAGGTTTCGCACAGGATGTCCTTTCTACCGGATGCTACCACCTTGTTGTCTAAAACAGCAGAGGGGAATGCAAGAGGGCCCGGTTCAATTCCGCATCCGACAGAACCGAAGCACTGTGATTTCCTTCCCAAACTGCTCGTAATCTAGGTTGTACTCGTCGGCATGCTTCGGCCCGTGCATGGAAGACGTGCAGCTGACCCGTGACTTGCCAGGGCAGGTTCGGTTTGACAGCGAATCCAAGAACCGAAATGATGTTGGTCTTTGCATTCGGGTGGTCGTGTGTGTCAGCCAACCTGGCACGAGTGAGGCCCCACATGGGCAAGGATTGCTGCTGTTCAGGTTTGATTTCGGAGTTCCAGCTGCAGCAGATCTCTGTGGGCTCCTTCTCCAATGAGATGCTGGCCAAGAAATTTAGTAACCAGTGCCAGAGCTCTCCTTGACTGCCCCTGAACTAAGACTACCAACAACTGAAAGATTCAAATTCCTGGGCTTCGGGCCTCAGGTCACGGCCCACCTTGCTCTCGGCTCTCCTTCACAGTGCTTCCTTATTGCTTGAACCACCTGCCGGCACGGCCAACTTTACGCAGGAGGTGGTCCAAGGCGTCGGGGGCCCCAAACTGTAAGTGTTTGGGTTGCTCTTTTCATTAATCATGAATGGTAGTATGAGTCCAGTCTTATAATAGCAGTATTCATGTTATTTTCATGATTGGCTTACATCCTGATATGCACTCCCGGAGATGGAAGCCAGGACTGCTCCAGAACCACATGGCCGGAGTTTGGAACGAGAGCCGTCTGGAGCGCATATTCAAGCATGGCTCAGAGTTTTGAGGATGACAGTAACTCAGGACGTTTTCGGGGTTTGATAGCCCTACAGAATCAAGCTTTGCACGAGTGCGCAGCATGTGATCTGACGCTGGGACTTTATTGCGCAATGGCCGTGGATGGGTGTGACGGTGTTTGGGTTTAGAGCTAGGGGTCTACTAAGTCCACTAAATCCTGTCTTGAGCCTCGGGATGTCTGGTGGGAAGATACAGCTTCATGTTGCTTCCCCCCGGGCCCCCGACTGTCATTCCTCCGAGGCCTCAAAGACTGGATGCACGGGCTGCAGGACGAGGTATGTCCAGTGCCTCGTGGACAGGAGGTATACAAGTACACAGGCACCGGGGTCTGCGCACCGGCCCCAAGCAACATTATCCTGGTGGCAGGCCGACGGCTCATCCTCCCAGAGTTTGGCAAGAGCTGCAGCATGGCTCTGGTTCGTTTTTCCCTTTTCCTGACGGTTCCAGCACTTGCTTCTGAGGGCCTATGTGACTTTATGCGGGTTCTGAAGGCTTGCCAGCCCCGAATGCAGAGGCCCCCTGCGAGACGAGTCGCAGAATTCACCGGAGCCAGTTCCAAGGTTGCTGGGTTGCCCTTTTCACAGCTCTGGCTGCTATGCCACTTGCCATCTGGTGGAACTATCGAAGGCAGCCGTGCCGAGGGTAGAAGTTCCGACTGTGAGCCGCGTCTCCTTTTCTTTCCGCAGCGTCAGCTTTTATTCTGCAGTCGGACATTCTGTCCGGTTGGATGGATGGATGGATGGATGGATGGATGGATGGATGTGGGTTGCCACATTGCCCGTACGGCTGGAGGGAGAATGTGACGAATAGGTACAACCATCCCGGCTTGCAATGCCCGAAAGTGCAGGCAGCATAGATTTGACATAGTTTTCAATGCAACCTCTCTGGGAGGCCGTGCCAGTTCTGGTACGCAGATGCCCTATGTGAGTCCGCCTGCGTTCCACGGGGACTGGCGGTGCCTCGAGGTTAATGGGGTGCGATGCTTCCTGCGATGTCTTGCGGAGGACAGTTTCTAGCTACCGGGCCAACTTCATGGTGAGGAAACCATATTTTTTACTATAGATCCCTAGTATAGTAACTTAAACTAAATTCCCTATGGATCTGTGATGTTTCCGGCATCAGGACTGGGAGCAGTTCGAGAGCATCAAGACACGCGAGCATGTCAGCTTTTGCATGTCATGAACTCGATATACTATGCAATATACTATTCAGTATACACATGATACATAATACATAGGCTGCCAAAGACAAGTCCGCATCTTGGTCTGGGCCGTGCACCAATCCAGCGACTCATGCTCAGGTGCTTCTGCCCTTGGCCATTGTTGCATGCCTTTTCTTCCTGCTGGGGTCGCAGACTTACGTCGAAGAGAGTATGCATGTCAAAGAGCGGCGAGAAATGCCGATGATTTGCTTTTTGTTTGTATCGGTGTACCGCCGTGCAAACTTGCCACAGGCAGACCAGTGTCACGATTTTCGGGCATAGGTGTTGAGCAGTCAAAACACGCGAACATCATGATCGTATCTACGTTTTGCATTGGCGCATTAATGGATGTGGTACTGCGAAAGAACGCATCTTGAATGCCTGTCTTCCCGGATCCAGGTCGAACTACCTCCTCATGGCCCAGACCTTCGTGAATCTGGAGGAGGAGCTGAATCCGAAGTCCCAAACCTCGCCACGACTGAGCCCCAAGCGCTGCTGTGCTTGTGCACGGAACCAGACAGGCTCCAAGCTACATATGGAATGCCTATGCAGCGTCTCGGTTTGTCCAGAAGGTTGAGAACGACAGCCTGACATTGTCTTCGGACGGAGACGGACGGAGCCACAGGTAGGTTCAATTCTGGATCCACAAAGTTCGCTTCCCGTCTCAAAGCCCTTCGCTGAGGTCATGGTGTATTCTCTGTTCTACTCTATCAATGCGCTGTACTACGAAAGTGATCTCCAAGCAATGTCTTGGGTATTGCTCTGCTTTTCCGCGATCTTGCCGTCGCTGGTCTTGCATTAGCCGACACTGTAAACATCCATGTGGCACTTCTGTGCTCATGTTTCGCATTGCCAACGAATGCTCTGAGATCTTTCAGAGTTTTTCAGACATGATCGCCATTGCGGAATAGGCTACTAAGTCACTATGTTCCTTGGCAGATCTGCAGTCGGGGTAAAGAGCCGAATACACGTACTTGGTGGAAGTCCCTGAGGTATGTCAAGCTTATCCTTATGATGGTGAGCTGGATCATGCCTTCAAGATTTCTTCCGTTGCGGCTGCGCAACTTCATTCTTGCCTCCTGTCCAAATCAGTGCATGAACAGCAATCGCAGAATTTTGCAGCCACAACCGGCAGCAGGTGTTGATGGACGACATCGGCAAGTTCTCGTGCGAGCCACAGTGTCAAAAGATCGTGCAGGAAGGCATGTCAACATTATGGCGCTGTTGCACAGCTGAAGTTACATTTATGACCTCTGCCGTTGGAAAGACAAGCGAGGCTGGTGGATGTCTTTACCGTCCAATTTCTCAGTGGAGTTTTTCATCTGGAGGCGGGGCAACTTTTCCAAGTTTGTCGATGCTGGTCGTCACCTTTTTCAGTTCAGGGCGGCGGGCAGAGAGGAAAAACAATCCATAAAACAATTCGTATGGGAGACAGAACGTTCCGAATCGCTGCAGATTGCCGGCACATCTCCAAAGCCGGGCTCGGATCCAATGCGGATGGTCTTGCGGACCAACGAGGAGCTAGGCGCAATTCCGCAGTCGGGACATAGTCCAAGCTCATTCGTCGTGGTCGATGTGTCGATGATATGTTTGCTGGTACTGTGCTGTGTATAGACCACATGGTACCACCGTTAAGCCAGTTAACCATGTGGAGAGTTAACCAACTAAAAATAACTGCACGGGTACATACATAATATGCATTCATGCTTGCATGCGCGGCAATGGATGGAGTTTGTGTGTATATGTCTCTGTGTATGTGTATGCATGTATGCATGCATACGTAGACATATTTACACACATGTATGTTGTATACATAATATGTGTGTATATATATATATATGTATATATATATATATGTAGTTATACGCACACCCACATACTTATAACCAAATTAACACATACTTGTACGAACACAGAGAGCAGGTGATTACATCTTTGCATGCGGCTTGAATGACTAAATTACAGAGGTTGTTGACTGCTGAGTTCCGCAATCAAAGCTGAATGGATGGCTATATTGTTACAACCAGCTATTGAAACCATGCCAGACTCCGACTGCAGGTTTCGCAGCCTTTGTTTGCGCAACTGTGGTCTCCCTCATCATCGGCCATCTCTGCAGGTGCTCGCAGCAAGGAATTGTATTGGGGAGATTTCGGGACTGGGGCGTCGTTCGTGGCTACTGTGGACGCGCTTGGCTTAGCCGGCTTAGCCTTGGCACGGCGCATGCATGTGCAAGTCATGTCGCTCGGAGGAGTTACTTGGGAGAACGACGGTTCTTTCGACTCACAGGGTTTCAGTCCGTAGGTGACAGGCAGCGGTGCATGAGTAGCTGTAATAGGGAGACAGTAACTGCTAGTTTTCTTACGGAAGTTAGCTGGAACGCGGCTTGCACAGACAGGGCTGCTCAGCTCGTACGTTTGTATTTGTGCCGTGCGTGGCCGCAGGCACTACCACGAGAAAAGCGTGGCCTACGAGCTCTCTGAGTGCAGCTCTGCGGACGTGGAGTTACAATCACAGGCCACCTGGCAAATCCGATGTGGTGGAAGATGCTCCGATTTCGTGCGCACGGGTATGCGCTCTCTAAATGCAGAGCGATGGTGAGAGTCGCTATGTTTGCATTGAAGGCCTCCCTGATGTACGTGTATGTGTCACCGCGACCGCGGCTGCTAATGCTTACAACCATTCACTGCAGCGACGGTCAGACGACGGTAATTAGTGTGATCTCGCAGGTGGCCACGTTTGATCATCCGCTGTCAGGCATTGGCTGGTTTGTGAGTGCTGACGCGTGGTCGGGTCTTGTGGTTCGGCCAGCCTGAAATCAAAGACAAGCAAAATCACACGTTTATATCAAGCATCGTGGGAGGAATGACGGTACCGATGCTTTTGCCATGAGACGTTCACTGCGACTGCAGGGCCTCCTACTACCGCAAACTCCGCCAGATTCAGCTGGCATCCCGACTGCAAGTTCACGACAGCAGAGAAAGCGCCTGCCAGTTGCTCATCAACCCCTGCCTTCACTCCTTCTCGCCTCGTCTCGCGTCTCCACCCTACCTCAACGCTGTTATGATGCGCTTTCCTCGATGTTGTTGGATGTCTCGACCCTCAAACTACGGCAGTACTGTAGCAGCGAGTCTTGTCAGTGCGAGCCCTGAATCACTAGAACGGAAATCCCGCCGTGCGCGACACCTGCTGCCCTCCAGCTGAGCTTTTAAAGGTGCATCAGAAGGTGCATCAGATGCACCGAGAGCGGACTGAAGACTAAAGGGTTTAAAAGTGCAACAGAGTCCCTCGGGATCTCCAGCCAATTGCGAACAGAACCGCTTTGACTTGAGGGGCTGTGCCTCGGCATCCTTGGCCAGTAGCTGCAGATGGAAGTTTCAACTTGCATCTGAGGCAGGAAGTGATCGTGGGGCCGTCGCTCTTGGCTGCCTTCGTCTTGACAGTTGCAGGCAGGTCAGGTTTCGGAGACGCCGAAGATGCTGCCCGTCGTTTCCGAGAGTGCTGTGATGGGGTAGTTCAGGGCTCTTCCGATGCTTGAGTAGTTGTTAAATCCTAAAATCACTATTCAACTATAGTAGGCCCATTGGGCTTCTTGCACTAGTGATCAAGAGCAGGCTGCTCAATGACGGCGGCTTGCTTGCACAAAGGACCAGCTTTCATTGGGCAGATGTGCCATGCGCTGACCGCTGCAGCATACGGTAGCAGTAGCATCAGTGTATATGTGGCACTCAAGCAGCCATACTTGGGAGATCAAGAGCCGGGGCTTGAACGCTTAGGCCTTCTCCGTTCACCTCCGCTGCATCCTGGGTCCCTTGGGCCAGTCCCACTTTTCCTTGTTCCAGCTCCTGGGACTGCTAAAACATGTGTGCAGACTCCGTCGCATTGGAGTCAATGATCGTCGCAGGTTGATTTCGGAGCTGTTGCTTCCGAGTGTTCGCACAACCCTGTGGAGCATTGGTACTGGAACTTCCAATGTTCGGCAATCGAGTGTGCGGGCCGGGGCTTGCGTTACGCGAAGCTCAACAAGGTCATCACAGCAATCGCATCTGCTGAACCCCGAACATCAAAAACACGTAAACTTTCACCCTAAACCCTAAACCCCAAAGTCTCAGTCTGTGAATGTGATGGTTGAAAGTCCGGTGGTTCCGTCACAAAGTCCTGGTGAAGCTGGTGGTGGAGTGGGTGAAACAGGGTCAAGCATGTGATACAGTTCAAAGAGGGCTACACACTGATGGGGTGTAGCCGGCAAACAGCCTTCCACGTAAGTGGATTCGTCCAACCCAGACAGCAAGGAGGAAAAAGGCGTTCAAAAACAAAAAACAAACCCAAAGTCTCGCGATCTTCCACGGAGCCGAGGTTCGCCTACGGTATCCCAAGCTTCTCAGAACATCCACTTGCATGGCCGACCCTTTTCAACCAGGCGCATTTCGGAGTTCCTAGGGCTCCTAGGCTATACGTCTGTATATTATGTTATACATTATGGCTATGGGTTATAGCTGCATATAGACAGGTCAACCATAAAGTACAGCTTGTAGATTATACATCCGATCCTTAGATTCCTTAGCTTGCGCAGAGGACTTCCCATCCTTTTCGAACACCCTGGCAAAGCACGGAGAGAACTTCCATACGGACCGAATGTAGGGGCCTTAACAATTAGAGTAGGGTTGGGGGGTATTGTGGAACCCTGCAGCAATACTAGTCAATTCTGAAGTTTCTTTTCTTGGCTGCCTTAATGGAATCCATCCATTCAGAGCTCTTTTCGGAAGTTGAATGTATGGAGTCGATCATGCTCGGTCTTCATGATGAGTTCATCATGCCTTCCTTATACCTGGTCATACAAGGCCAGAGCCAAGTTGAAACGGGAACTTGCAATAGAAGCGTCAGCTGACTTGGCTTGCACGCTGTTTACGCAACGGCATGCATCATCTCAGGCATTGTGATACTGAATCTGTTCTGTGGACCCAGTTCCACTTCCGTAATGCAAGCTCGCTGGTAGATACAACTCGACGAAGTCCCTACAGGGGTTTACATTCTATCACGTCTTTTCTGTTCCGTCCATATGTGTTCAGACCTGCGTTTGGCACCTGTTAGTACTTGGAGCAGCATTTTCTGCACTTCCAACAGTTAAGGCAGGGTACAAGGCAAGGATACAACGGAGCAAACCGATGTCTTTGCAGTTCACCTTCATCCTCTTTGCGATTGGCGTGGCGGCCTGAGCTTGCCCTGCCGGTGACGATGCGCAGTGGAGCCCTGGAAGCTGCAGATGCCAGCAGAGCATTCAGGTAACGAGTGTGTGTGCCGCCAGGTGAACTTTTTACAGCTGATTCTACTCTTGCTGCTCTGGTACTGGAGGGTACCGAAGCTGAAGCACATCGACTGGAGGCGTGAGCTTTCGCCAAAGAGGGGATGCTTCCTGCAAGCCTAAGACCCAAGCCGAACTAGGGAGTGCAGACTATCTGCAGTTTTCCTGCAAAATGGCGGGGATATTGGGGACGCCCGAACTGCAACTCCAAAAGTCACATATCCCGAGCCAGCAGGGCAGTGGCGCACTGCTTGGGTGCCTGGTCTGCCCTGGATGTGGCCTTGATCAGCCACCCGACCCAAGGGTTTGGAAGTTGCACACTTAGGTGTCGGCATTGAGGCTGAACCTGCAGAACCCGGTGCATGCACTGTCGATGCTAGGATATGATAGGCTAGAGTGGCCTGACATTGCGCAGCACCCTCGACGAAGGTATGATCATCACCATGCTGGAGTTGGGAGCATCGGACTTCGTCCACCTTTGGGGCAGTGACAAGGATCGTTTGACTCGAAGGCACCTCCGTCGTTCAGTGACGCAGTCTAGGTTTCAGCGTCTCGGATCCTTGCGAACAGGCTTGGCATCGACGTCCGTGGCCCTGAGAAGGGCCTGACGGTCGCCACTCGTCTGTGGGCGAGTTTCGAAGGTACAGATTCACTGCGAAAGGGTATGCAAGCGGCACATCAGCTCGTGCGGAGAGGCATGTTGCATTCGATTCACATTCATTGCACACGATGGTGTGACACCTGAGAACCTAGGGTTGTTTGTCCGTGTTTCAAGAAGGGGCGCTGCCTCCAACAAGGCATGTGCATAGCTAAGGACGTCGTTCTGAGCACTGGTACATATCTGCTTTTTGTCCGGACCTCAACGGCGCAAAGCTTCGCAACTTGACTCTCCGAGACTGAACGAACTCCTCGCTGTCTGATTTGCTGGCAGGTTGCAGTGCTGCTGCAGGCCGCGGGGGAAGTTACAACTGTAATGTCGACTGGCCTATGGCGGCCTATGGCCTATATGTCTCCATCGATGCATCCATCTTTCCCAAAACTCCCACTGAAGCGAGAAACAGACCAGAAACAGACCCATCGAACTTCGCATGCGTAGGCCTGGGCCTCCCGGGCCTCCCTCCACTTCTTGGACAAGAGGACAGGCTTCCGACTTCCCTCAAACATGACGTCTCTTTGCAGAAGTTGTAAGCCACCAACATGAGCACTCAAAAAGGACCAATGCCATGCAGCATGGGCGCGAGCGATTGCATCTTGGCAGTGCTCTTCCAGACTCACCGGAGAACGACAGATGGGATGATCGGATGAAGCCTGCCCGCGTGAGTTGTGGTCTCCTCTTACTGACGATATCTTTGCGGCCCTGAGAAGTCCTAATGGCAGCAATGATGCGGCACTGTTACAGAGGCGAAAGAGTCGAAGCCAAGGTTGGTGCAGTGAGGCCTGCGCGACACAAAGATGCTCGAAGGAACAGCATTTCAGACGCTTAGAGCGCAAAAGAGTCGCAAGATGACAGGCACCAGAAGGTTCGTCTACACAGGGTTGTGGCGAAGAATATTCCCATACCGTACCAGTTGCCTCTGAGACACTTGCAACGGCGATCGAAATGCCTTAGCCAATTAGTCGCACTATGTGCCCAAAATCTGCATGGCGTCTCGTTGCTGAGGAGCTCATCTGCCTGCAGACCTGAATTCGCTCTTTGCAGCCTGCCTGTTACACATGCCCTCACTGAGTTGCATATGTTCGTTGCTTGCCGAGAAAGGCGCGGGCTTTTGCTGGCTAGGAGAGGCTAGTAAGCAACGACCAGCAAAGCAGCGATGCAAACTGAACAAGCCGAACAGTGGGGGATGTGATTGCACAGCCTGAGAGCTGTGTACGCCAATTTGTGCTTAAAATATGTGTGTTGCGATCTTTGTGCCTTCAGCCGCCATCTTTAAACCTGGAGCGCAAGGAGGTGCAGAAACAGAAGGCATATCTGGCCCAGCCGAGCACGACGGACAGAAAATCAAGTCTCCCTATGCGTAGGCACCCTCTGTCTGGCGTATGGCCGGGGCCCATGCCTATCGGTTACACAGAGCGATGAGGGTCGCTCCTCGTTACGCAGATTTCCGGGCTAGGTCCCATCCGGTGCTTGAATCGCAACTGGCGTTGTTGGGTTCAGCACACGGGGTCAAGCGTAAGTGTAAGCCAACAGGGAGGTGACCTCAGGTTTCGCCTGTGCTTCTCCAGTCCTTTATCCTCCAGGTATAAGGTGGCCAACACGGCTAGGCTGGTACGAGTGTGAGCGCCAGGGGGGATCTGTAAGCTCTGTCAGCTGTGGCCGCTGGCACTTGGTATGCGACAGCGGGGAAATAAAGCCTGCACGCTGCCGCGGTCCCAATGTGGCTGTTCATCCGTGTCCTCGTGCCATTTGCTCGTCACTTCATGGCCTCCAAGCTTACAGGAAAGTTAGGATGCAAAATCCGAGCATCCTCTGGGAAAAGATAACTTCGCAGCCACATAGAGGCACCGTCCAGGAATGCGAATTTAGCTGTCTTGTTTCAGCGGGAGCAGCGCCCATCGGCCCATCTTAGACCTATGCAGCATGGCAGCCCCCCCTGGCAGAGCAAATGCCGCATCCTCAGAGCAGAAAGAAGGCTTTCAGCTTTCGGATCGCGTCCGACGCGTCCGACTCTGAGGTTGCGGGGCCTGTCCGTGTCTTCGTTCGGCTGCGGCCGCCTGCGGAGAGGCAGCAAAAGTGCAGATTTTTGGGTTTTTCAGGTGCCGTGGTGTCACGACATGCCACGGCTTGCAAGGCAGACGATCGAGATGTTCGAGATCAGCCCCGAAAGACAAGGCGAGGGAAAGTGCACCATTTGTCCCTTTGGGTAGTCTCGCCTCTTACTTAGCTCAGGGACCTGCGGGAAGGGCCTTGCTTTCCAAGATTTATGTTGAAGTTCCGTCTCTATCCGACCTGAGAGTCTGTCTGGAGCTCCCCAGGTGTTGTTACCATCAAGGACCCATTGTCATCTGGCCGAAGGGAGACGCTTGGCAACGACATATGCAAGTCCAGACTGAGCCAGCATGAAAGCACATGAAACCTCATGACAGCATTGGTAATCACGTATGAAGGCCATGCTCGAGAGGCAGTAGTCGCCCTCCCCGACATGCTCGTGCAGACAGTTGCTGCATTGTTGTTTGGTGCTGATGATGATGTTGTCGAGGCACAGCAGTGGGCTCGGCTCAGGTAGTTGTGCGTTCGTATGTTTTCTAGCCTCCGTGCGTCTTTCTGCCTCTTTGGTTCCGTTTGGTGCAATTCCTGGAAGCACTCAGGCACAGCTTCGAGTTCAACATGGTCTTCAACGAAGAGACATCGCAAGATCAGCTCTTCATGCCGGTGGCGGGTCAGGCAGTAGAAGCTTGGACTGAGTACGTTGGTGACCTCGGTAGGTCAGCCCGCTTCTGTGTGGCACTTGCTAGACACATGCATTATGTTCTCCGAAGAATCCTGATGCTTGGAAGAGCTCTGTTGTAGCAATTTCTTGGCCGAGGATGGCGCCCTTCAGGGACGCGCTTGGGCAGCAACATAAGAGCACTCAAGCTTCCCACTCCTGAACGCGAAAGCCTTCGTCCGGCAAAGACGCGAGAGCACGTGATGTCCTGAGTTGAGTTGGAGTGACTATCATTAGTAGAAGACCGGTTGCTTTTTTCATTTGTTCCATCATGGGTTCTATTTGGCCTAGCTCTCCTGATGTCCAACTCAGGCATCCCCGTTGAGGCAAGAATCAGGAACTGCAGTATCCACAAGCGTTCAATCCGTGGCTCTGTGGCCAAGAAGAATCTCCTGTCACTCCCATGACACATTAGGTAGTGGCTGTGTCATCGCCTACGGTCAGACTGGCTCCGGCAAGACCTACTCCATCTTTGGCGAGGAGAGCTTGGATCGTCGTGGCGCTCCAGTCACTTACTTCTGCACGCGATGGCCTACAGATTCCTTAATCAGGACATCATAGACCTGTTCAGTGCTCAGGCCGTAGAGTATCAGGGCTTCAGTGTTGCAGGACGATCGCCCGACTGAGAGGGGGCTTCTCCCACGAGCCATGGAACGGCTACTGCATGGCTGCGCCCGGGTCCCTGCTCGGCCAGCGATGCTTCTTCTCTCTTAACCTGAGCCTGAGATCCGAAAGCCCGACGACCCTCGAAGCTACCCCAGAATCCTGTCTCGCTGATAGAGAGTCTGCTAGGCACAGAAGGCAAGCAGAGACGGCGAGGAGTTGGACGGCATCACAGCGCCTCGGCAGGCATCTGCTCTCGGCAGTCTGTGCCCCATCTACTGTACTTTTTTCAAGATCCGCTGTTGTTGAATGGTCGTTCTTTTACAAAGGTCAGCTTCCTGGAAGTCTACATGGACCAGGTGCAGCCTTGTCAAACACTAACGGGCCGGCCGATTTGCTGCCCCTGCCTTGCTGTATCTACCAAATGAGATGCCACCCCTTTGAGGTTCGGGATCTCGGCTTCGGTAGCAGCACCGAAGATCAGGCGCAGCCGAGATTCAGGAGGAGTTCTTGTGCTTTCGATCTTACGCTTGCCCTGATTGTTTCCAAACGGGATGGGAGTAGGGCCTCTGCTCGTTTCGGTCCCTGCTGCTTGCTCCAGCTGCAGGCAGCGGAAGAGACGACGCCCCGCAGATCTTCGAGCCTTTGCAGCCAGAAGTTCGTCCGTCCTCCTGCTTTGGTGCCGGGCTCTTCTTAGATTTCAATTTCCATGCCGTCGATTGGAAAGCACGGTTTCTTCGCTGAGAGCCATGGTGGGCAGTCAGTCTTACTTATGCCGCCGACAAGTCAGAGAATCATGCTAGGAGTGGTGGCCTTGCCAAAGATGACGGAGGCTGGGAATGTGTGCTCCTGTGTATTGGGTGCAGGGCATTAATTTGTTTTTCTTTGGGGCGAGAGTCCTCACGACAGATCAGGTGACGCAAGAGATTCAGTGGCGAGGTTCCCTCCAGTGATGTTGCGGAGTGCGATGAGTGTGCATTCGCATTCGAGATCGTTTTTGTCACAGTAGCTGAGGTTACATCCGAAGCGCTAAGCAGCTAAGCACAGCTGTTTTTGTTCGTGCTTACTGGCGGAATTGTTGAATCGTATCCGTCCCGCATAACCTATCCCGTTTCAAGGTGTTTATGATTGAAAACTCCAGCATTTCTTTCGCATCGGACCAGTTTTTCTTCCTTGCCTTTGTTCGCTTGAGCCTTCTGTCTTTGTCGAAAAAAGAGTGTCATTGACCTGCTTATGAAGCTCGCGATTTTGGAGAAACCGAGCTTTGCGATCCGAACAATCAGCAGATGATCTCCGCGTCCGTTCGCTACTCATTGTTTGTAGATCGTGTTAATGAGATTTCCCATACAGTCCTGAATCATCTGTGTAGCCCCTTGTCAAACGTCAATTGTTCTGAGACTCGCTATCCCATCACCGGCATCAGAATATCGTTTTTGCATATGTTTACCTTTCTCTCAGTTTTCTCGCGTTTTTTTTCTCAATTGCGAGGCTAGGTTGCAACCAATCTTAATGCGCGTCGTGGTTGCAAGTGCACGCCATCGTCTGAAAATACTCCATCGCAGGACTCTTACACCTGGGTACTGCCCTTGTTTCTGCTTGGTTCAATACTTGTTCACACATTGCTTCGCGGTACCATTCGCCCTATTTTGGAGTCTCTCATAGAGTTGTGGGGCTCACCCCTAGGTTTCATCTTTTCTCATCAGTCGGCAGTTCAGCTCTGGATTACTTGACCCTGCGAAGTGAGTTCGTGTCTTCGTAGTGACCTGGGCTCTGACTTCCAGGCTCTGTATCTGGGTGATCATAGATGCCATGGTGTCTGCGGGTCCTACGATAGCAGTTGTGTGTTGCACGTAACAGCTTCATCTCTCATCCAACACACTTTTTGCGAGTAGTGCGAATGCATTACAGCATCGATCACTGCTTCTCGAGATTCCTGCGAGCATACAATCAGCCCTCATCAATCGACCCATAAACCAAACGACCATCTGATCATCTTCGCCCCGACAGAAGATGGAAATACAAGAACTGGCTACACGTTCTCATGTGCCGGTGGTGGCGTAGCATCGAAGTGCAAGCCACGCCAACCGCCTTAGCGACGGTAACCTGTTGTTGCCCCGGCAGTGTCCAAACAAAGGATACCACATTGACAGAAGCTCCGGCCTAGCCGCCGAAGATTCATGACCAAAGGACGGAAGCTCCCAAGAGGCCCAAGCCCAGACGGGATATTCTACACGGATTCCACACCCCACCGAAATGTTTACAAAGAGCCGTTGAGTGTCGACAGTCGCCCTGAGAGTAGCAGGAGAGCCGGCAGTGCACAAGCGGCCCAAGCTGAGACGCTTCGCTACACAAGGTCCCTTCTGCCAGAATTCTGAAAACTATATTTATATTTGACAGGAAGGTCCAGGGATTGGCTTACGAGAAGTTAAGCTTAGGCCTGGGGCACTTCCTTCGCAGGCACACTGAACTTGTCGTGTGCATGGATGGGGTGTGGAACCGGGAAGACACACTTCATACCACAATCGTCTCATGCGAGGCTCAATCGCCGACAGAGACCAAGGGGGGCAGAATTTGTTGCTGCGAGAGACTCCGGACGGCTCGATCCAGGTCCAGGCACCCACCTGATTCTTTGTTTTGGATTCCGGATGTTTCAAACTTCGGGTTTGTTCACTCGGGATTGGTTGTCATTGTATAGACATGGCGTTGTCGCATGAATTGATCCGCATTTGTCTTGTTTTGAGCCGACATATTGGTCGTCCCACCTGCGACTAGCCGTGCTTCGCTATGAGGGGCAGCATCGTGAAATCCGGGTCGAGGGGCGGCATGTGATTTTGTAGGTTTTGCTTAGCCATCCGCTATCCCGAGGATGGTCTTTCCCATCTTAGTCTTGCCAGTCTCTGTGTTGAAGAAGACTTCTCCCAGGGACTTGCGCAGCTGAAAGCCGCGAGCTCAGATCGACGGTGCTGAATGGAGCCTCTAGGATGGCCTCCGTCCTCCCTGCCTTTCTGTTCCAGGTGCCTTTCCTTGTTCCCAGCTTGCTGAGGTGCGAGACTTGTCCGACGTTTCACGCATCGTGCGTGCTGGTCTAGCTCGTCGGGCGACAGCCTTGACGGACACGAGCTCATGTCTCGCCAGTGAGTTCTGCTAGATCTTTTGATGTGCTGCTCGTTAGCAGTGTTGGGGTCATGTGTCTTCAATGTGGCATGCGCAGCACGTCTGTCTTCTGTTCCGTCGTCGAAAATAGCACGGGACTGCTTAGGACTACTGTACTGTACCGGATTATGTGTGTACTAGGCACCCGCACGCACGTGAGGGACCATGAGGCCTATGCACATGCATCGTATGTTTGTCTGTCTTTCTGTCTGGGTGGGTGGATGGATGGATGCATGGATGCACAGCGGTGCATGTTTGCATGTATGTCTGCATGTATTATGTACGTAGGCATGTTTGTGAGTGCGTGTGTATGTGTCTGTGTGTATGCCGGTTCGAAAGCAGAAATGTATATTAATACACATACATGCAATTGTGTACAGAAATGTACAGACACATTTTAATGGCCTGATGTCCGTGAGGAGTCCAACGTTCGCTCCTCGCGCTCACATACGGTCTTCACCGTGCAGCTACCTGTCACTACAGCAGACGGTGCCGGACTTGCATGTGCAAAGGAGTGGGGTCAGGAGTGTAGGGCTGCAGTTGGGTGACGTCTGCGGTGCTTGTTTAAAATGCTCTCAGCCACTGCTTGAATCGGCAAATACGGCTTGGCCAACTTGTGCCCAGCCGGTTACGATAGCTCAGTCGACCTTTGCTTTACAGGTCTTAAGTGTCATGTAGCTCTCGAAAGTCTTGACCTCGACATACATAGGTGTGCCGACACAACTGAGCTTCGTGGACTTGGCAGGCAGGGTCGGTGGCTTGGAAAAGCCCTCGGAGTGATAGTTTGCCTGATTTATCAGATTTATCTTCAAATCCTTTCCAAACCCTAGCGTGGCAAGGAAGACCTGAACCAAAGCGATGGGGGTTGCGGCTAGAGTTGCCGTGTCTTGTTGTAGTGTCGTGAGTCTAGACACAGCCAAGCACTAGCACTTGCAACTGATCCCACTTGGTCACGGAAAGTCTGCTGCATTTTGGTACTGAGTGCTGGACAAAGCAATCGGCTGACCTCTTGCATGTTCGTGCACTGCAAGCTTCGGATATGCGCTCTTCCCCGTTCTCCTGATACTCTTTTTTCGCTTTTCTTCACAAAGAAAAGCTTCTGAAAACTGCTAATGCAAAACCGTTGATTGTCAAGAGCTTTCCCGTCGCCCAGCTTTTCCTTGCGGTACAGGCCCTCCACTGTTACGTGGACATGTACAGTCCATCTGAGTCACTGTAATCACACAGGCTTCGGGCTTCGGACATCTGAAACGTGCGGACAGGGCCATCAGAGTAGGCAGAGGCTTGGGATGACATCCCCGCCTCGAATACTTCACGAAATTAAGTATGCAAGTAGTGCTGTTCAGCCACACGTCCGTCTATCACATACTGATGTGATCTACTGTGCTTAGAACATAGTGTATGATATTGCATACCACAGTATATGCCTATGTACATGTACATACATATATACGTATATAGAGTGCTAGCCTTTTCGGGCAGAATCTGGGGAAATCGGGCCACCATGCATGGGTCGGGAATAGAGGAGAGTTTTTTCAAGCAGATGCGGGGGCAATTTTCAGACACTATCCCCGCAATTTTCAGGAACACCTACGGCAAAAGGTCGGGAACAGTAGGGGCGGGGGCGGGGGTGGGTAGGGGACTACGAACGTATGTGCATTTGCATGGCGTGTTAAAATGCATAGCGATATCTCTCTTCGTTCCTGTGTCACTTCACGATTTTTACTTTTGCTGAATGCAAACGAAAGGGTTTAGGGTTCAGGGTCGGGGGAGTAGGGCTTGAGGGTTTAGGGTTTAAGGTTGGGAACGGTAGGGGGGGCGGAGGGGACTACGAACGTATGTGCATTTACATGGAGTGTAAAAATGCATAGCGATATCTGTGTCGTTCCTGTGGCGCTGGATGGTCTGTACCCTTGCTGAAGGCAAAGGAAAGGGTTTAGGGAGTAGGGTTTTAGGGTTTAGGGTTTTGGGTTTCCGAATGTGCCTTCGTCTATGCCCGATGTTCTCGGATCTGTCTGAAACAACTGTGTCTCTATTACCGATTTTATTCCTGCATCTTCATGAAAATCCCAACGCCTATGCTGAACTTAGATCCGTGAAATTCCCTGCACCCTCTGTATGTATGTATGTATGTAGGTATGTATGTATGATATGTATATACATAGATATAAATGTATATGCTTATGTGCACGCACAAGTACTATTAATAGTAACCACAACAAGCATAAGCATGATACCAGATTAACTGGCCTAACCCCGAAGCCTTGGAGGTTCCGAGCGCCTGGCTAAATCCAAGGCGGAAGGCCAGCAGTTCCAGGAGCCCTTGGCGGTGCTTTTTGTTTCGTACAAGATACTGTAGTATACTATAGCACAGCACAGCACACAACACCATGCTATAGCACACAAGAGCATACAGTAGAATACTGGAGAACACGACAGCAGACGATAATATCCTATAACATACTGTGCTTCTAACTATACTGTGCTATAAGATACTGTTAACATACATACAAGTCGCCGTTTCGTTTCAGGTACGGGCCCGCAGTGGGAGCTGCACTGTCGCAGGAACATATGACAGGTAATCAGGCCATGCTGAACACCAGCACCATGTAGCGCCGGATTGGAAACGGGAACATCGCCTCCGCTGTCCATGATTATTGCTTCCATTATACCGAATGACATGATTTGCCCGATCTCTATGTAAGCACTTGGACACACGACCAGGAGTGCACCTGTAGATAGATCGGTAGGAGGATGGCTGGTTGCATGCACGTACCGTGACCTACACTGGAACAGCACGAACAAGAACATCGTCTCAGACAAGGTGCACAACACACAATTGCAGCGGCTCGTGCCTTTCAAACAAGTCTCTGGTCGAAAGACTGTTCTTGGGACCGTCTCGCTGTTTAGCTGTGGTGCCAAAGAAGGGCTAGCAAGATTGCTGCCGTCATGGTGGTTTTTATTTGCTCAGATCTCGTTTTCGCGTGGAAGACTGTTCGGCCGGGTGGAGTGGCCCGTGTGCGCAAAAACGAGAGCGGCAGGTTGAATCCCCAAGCCTGCTTTCGGGGCAAGGAGGTTTGTGGCAACAAACCGAAAACAACGTGCAGATAAAACGAGCAAGATCCGCTGTGATACTTGTAGTAGTCTGGATAATGACAAGCGCAGCAACAGGTTTTGCAAATTCCTGCATGTTGGCATATACAGTTCGAGACCGGCCATGGCAGAAGCCCCCTGAGGCGTTGAATACAGTAGCGCCTCATTCACATAAAGAGCCTGAAGATGCTTCCCAGCCCGGGTCAAGCCCAAGAATCCCAAAGCTTCGCAGGAAGCTATGGCCATCAACACTTCGCTCACGGCTTTGGGGAAGGTGGTCCTCGCCTTGGCATCAGATCCAAAGGTGGTGTGCCTCGGACGGCAATCGGGAATATATGTCTTTTGCGGATTGGACGAGCGAGGCATGACAGAAACGGAAGCATCAGAAACGAGAAGCAGAGCTTGCCACTGTCGTTGTCATGGCCAACATCAACGTTTGGCTACTTTGATCATGCACACTTTTGCCGAGATACCGAGGAGACATGTGCCATACCGCGACTCGAAACTGACCCGGATCCTGTCTACATCCCTCCGCACCCAGGCCACCAGTACAGTACGATTTCAAATAAAGTCGCTCTATGACTGCATTCTAGTCGTTCTAGTGGGTTGCAGAGCAGGAAGAACGTCAGCCTCGTAGTTCATCGGTGGTGATAGGTGAGCTCCATCTCCATTTGCGCATGTCGGGTTTGTGGACAGGTGTCAGTTCTTGCGACGATTCATCCTCGTGTGGAGGACTACGAGGACACTGCGAAATGAGGTTGATGTTTGCTGCGTCGTGGACAAGCTGAAGGGGTCGTGCATAGTTCGCATCAGTTCATCAAGCATTCTGTCTAGTGGGCCCCCCAAGAGGAGTCGTTGAACACCCTCTCCTTTGCGGATCGCTGCAAGCTCCTTGGCGAAACTATGTTCAACACCCTGTGAATCCCAAAGTCTGGTGATGTTTTGGAGCTTAAAGTCGAGCAGATACCTGTACGGTTCCACGAAAAGTATGTTGCGCTGTCATTGGGAACTTCTTGCAGTCCATGAGCGATCTGCAGTTTAGTCTCTGTTGTCGGAAGCTTTGCATTACATTGCTGTTGCTCTTGTAGTAGGAGCAAGAGCTATCCGCGTGACCTGTGATCCTCTCCATGAATATCCTTTTCACCTCGGCAATTGGCCTCATGCCCCAAGGAATGTGGCAAGGCAACCGCAGGCATGGAGCTCAGCTGTTTCCCGAGTTTCCCCGTGATCTTGGAGTTTTCTGGCACACCCCTCAGGAGTCTAGAATCACTAATGGAGTAAGAAATAAGCGCACCGAACCGCTGTTGAATTATGTGTACGATGCGCTGTTGCTTCTTATACTTCGCTCTTGCGATCCTGCAACCTCCTTGAGATATCGAGGTCAAGTACGTGACGGCTTCCGGCACCCAGAGCCTTTGCAAATTTGTTTGGTAGTCGAGAGGTTGTGGTTTGACCGCTGTCCTGAAGCGCCCAGAGAGCTGAGGAAGGCCAAGATTGCGGACCTGCAGCGCCAGGTTGCTGATCTGAAGGCGGCGCCTAGAAAAAGGGTGAGAGCAACTTCAGAATCGACAAGTCTTGTGGTGCTTGTGCTTCGAAGGAGAAGTTGCGCGAGGTCCACGCCAGTCCGGGACCGGGTTCGGGATGGCTGAACCATCATTGGGTTCCAGTCACTGCATGGCATTCAAAAGCCAAGCTTTGATAGCTGCATGCGATTGCAGTCAACCTTTGGCAAGCAAAGGTCGAAAAGCTGCGAAGACCGATGACGTGGACGATGCCATTGCACAGGCCATGCACAAAAGCACACTTGAAGCAAATGAAACTGAACTTAACTACTACTGTACCGAAAAGCTGAGCTGGCAAAGGATGGCATAGGTAGAATTCCATTCAGGCATAACCTGCCTGATACGGCCTTGCGGCACGTGGCCAGGCTTTGGCGATGGCAGCGGCACCAAGTGCTGCCCTGTCCTAAGCTGATTGGAAAGCAACGGGCGGAAGATCAACATGTCCTGTGCTGCACCTTTTTTGCTCAGGGTCTTCCCAACTAGAGAGGACGCGCGAGGAAAGGATTGAAGCTGTGTCCGGTTGGCTTTGCTTACGTTTTCGCTTTACAGAGCTTCGTGGACTGTCGGAGCCATTTTTCATTTCCCCGATTTCCCTGCTGAGGGGGGCATGCGAACCGAGTCGATGGCGACAGATGCGCCTCAGCTGACAGAGACTCGGGGCTGCACGTGATCTTGCATGATGCATGTATTCTTGATGGGCCCTGTGCAGGTCTCGGCCAGCGGCGGTGGCGATGGTGCAGCGGCCTGAAACGAGAGGTAGCGGCAGAAAGATTGGAAAAGAGGATATGATGGTAGCTCCGGTCCAGTTATTCTTCGAAGATGGGCCCCATGACACTTTCTAAAGAGCTGACGGTGAGTGATCATTTCTGCCTGGTGTCTTGCTGAGTCTCGACGAGCAGCCGACAATCCCCAGCTTAACATGCTGATGAAGCTCCAGGACTCGTGTTGCATTTTCATGTTAGGAAGGGTTGCAAGGAATTTCATGTTGGGAGCCTTGCCCAAAGCCTAAACATCAGTTGTGCCCATGGACCACTTTCGTTCACCGCATTGCTTGGCTTCAAGGGCTTGGGCTTACTAGTCAAAAGGGCATACCTTTGCACGAAAGATTTCCCGCTGAAGGACCAGCGCAAGCAACAAGGACAAGCAATCCAGAAGTGCCACGCAAAGCTGGAGGCAGGTGGCCCTGCGCGGCCGGGCGGACGTTGAGTCGCAGCCCAAGCCACGTGCTGACAGGAGCTCTCGAAGAAGAAGCAGGAACTTCTGCAGTCAGATCCCCGTGACACCGAGGCACCTCTGCAAGTGTTAGATTCTGCTTGACGATCAGGGTCTGCAGTCTGTCCGTCATGTGCTTCCTCGAGAACCTTTTTAGTGGAGGTTTTGAGCAAGGTTATCGGCTATCGAGTGCCAAACGTCTCTGCCTTTTTGGCTCGGATGCAGGGCATGTATGTGGCTGGTCTTAGAGCCTTCAAGCAGACCCTGAATAAGTGAGATAGACTCCAAATCACAAAGCACGAAGCCCTCAACGGCTCCTGACGCCTCCAGATGGCTGTGCAACTCCTGCAAGCAGCGCAACAGCCGCAAGAGGCACAAACCGACCCGAGAGGCCAGGGACTTGCGTGGGAGCCATGGCTGCAGCTGCTGTAGTCGCTGCGAGACACAACAAGAAGCAGCTTTGGCTGCATGGAGTCCTTCTGTCATACGTTTGACACCCTGACCTCGGCAAATGCATGTTCGGAGCCGGAGTGCAGCCAAGGAAGCGAGGACGGGGCCATGCTGCAGAGTGAGTGAACTAGTGTCCAAACTGATATAGCTTTGTTCGTAGCTCACCATACTGAAGCCTGTATTCCGGGAACCCAAACATTGAGCGCCGTCAAGGTCGGCCAAGCAGTAGTCTGCAGCCAGATGCTCGTGGAAAGCCTGCCTGAACATGCGGACGTCCCCCTTCCCCTCCCCCGTTATCATCAGTAGGAGGGTTGTCGGCAGTTGGGAAGCTTGCAGTTCGCTCTACTTGGGGGGGATGGGCGGGCTCTAACCCAGGCTTGACTTAGCAGCAAAGCATCGCGACTGATGCAGGATCCCTTGACGGCGCGCTTGGCTCAGTGCCTCACAGGCTTAGCATGATGCAATTTAGTACAGGCGGTTGTCTCACCAGCATGTTAGACGCAGCAACACTGTGGGCCACAGCTTACGCTTTGCAGTTGCAATTGTACCTTCACCTATACTTGCGGAGCAACGCAGCACTTTGTACCCTAAGCATAAGTCCGGGTGTCTGTCGTTAGGTACATGCTAATTACTAGCGTGCAGGATAATTGCCGGTGCGAGACAAAGCGTCAAAGTGGCACTTCTTCAACAGACGGGTCAAGGATCTCCCGGCAGGAGGGGTCCCAAATTCCTTACTCAAGCTCGGACCAGATCATTCATTAATTACATTGAACAATGAGGCTGAACGCCGACGGCGCTTCGCACAGAAGCTTGCGGACTCTAAGCCTGCAAAACGGAGCTCATGTTCTTTCAAGCTTACAGGTCGAAAGAGCGCAGTCCTGCACGATGGAGAGACTGTGAAAAAGAGGCCGACGCATTTCCATCAAAGGAGCAGACAGAAGATGGAGCAATCGGTCTTAACTCAGCCTAGTTCGGGGATACGGGATACTGCTTCTCCGTCGAGCGCCTCACTGCTCAGAACGACCAACGGCGAGCTGAAGAGCTTTTCGATGAGCTGGATGTCAAATGCCATGGCATCATCTCTGAAACTCAGGTGGAGGCATGGAGGGTTTTCTGAGCTCTGAGGAAAAACGCGGAGTCCCAGTATGTGTTTGTTGTAGTCAGCGACCCAAGCTTCACCATGCCCCATAGGCTTAGGAGTGTTCGAGCGAACTTCTAGTGCAGCCCACGGAGCATGAGCTGTAGCTGCAACCAAAAACGACTCAGAGCGTCGTGAGTTTCTGGGTCGTCTTGGCTTTTCGATTGTCGTTGATGCAGCTGGTTCCGGGTTCTGGGAGTAGCAGATTGGCTAGTCCTGCTTTTCCCGCCATGCCGTGTGCACTTTGCGAAGATTCTTCGAGCAAAGTCACATGAGAGCAAGAAGTCTCGAAGAACGTACAGGGTAGAAGCGGGGAGTCATGCGGGAGCCAAATCTCTTGACGTGTGTTGGTCAGCCGGCTGCTCATGCAAAGGATAGCCAGCTGCCATGTGCTAGCTAGGCTTATGGGCGTGTCTGTCTCGCAGCCTGAGCAGAGCTTTTACTGAGCCTGTTTGCTGCAGACCCTCCTGACCAAGCTTTTGCACAAGAAGCCGCCGGATGATGCAGCCCGGCAGTTCCAGTCATGTAATCCATGTGTTTGTATCGCTTCTGTGTAGGGGTCCACATCGTTGGCAGGCTCATGTTGCCGCTGGGCTTCACCGCTTGTTGCGGCCGAGCGTAGCATGAGTACTGACTGTCAACTTCTCCAAAAAAGAATCTTCTGACAAAAGGCCCTTTGTAGGGAGGATTCGTATCAGTGTTGGCAGGTTGGGAAAGGCACCGAGCACGTTCTGTCGAACTACTCAGCGAGTCGGATGTGGGCACGAAGCACCTCTTGTAGATGTTTTCCCGGTTTCCTTACTCTTGCAGCTGCGATTCCTGAAAGATGTGAAAGCAGAGTCGTAAAAGCTACCAGCGAGCACCTGCGGTCAGTCGTAGCATCACAGAGTGTTTTCCTTCGAGGCTTCACTGTCTTGTTGTCAAACTTCTTTGTAGCTTCCCTTTTTCCGATAAATCATTGGCCTCTTTTCGCGCTGCAGCAGCATGTGTTCGCTACCTTGCAGGAAGCTTCACTTTTCTGTGTGTGAATCCTCATCGTTTCTCTACAGATCAGATGACATGCTTGCATCAGTTTGCGTTTAGTGCAGAAGCTGTAGGCATCTCACTCCTGGCATGTTGAGGCCATGGCATATGTCTGGCGGGAGTTGATGAAAGCACAGAAGGTGGCCAAGCAAGCAACTGGCTCACCGGGGTGCACGGGTACCACTAGACTACGATGGTGCTGATGGGAAGAGGACTTGAGGGTATCGATTTGCTCGACGAGGGTGAAGCTTCAGGAACAAGGTACTGGGCCACTAGTGTTCCTCAGCATTGTGGCAGCTTCTCCTTCAATTCTGTTGGCTGGAACGCTGCATTGATCCACCATGCTATTCTTGTTGATCCCAAAGCCAGAGAAATCTTTTCCCGATTTGCTGTGTTTGCGTGTTCACTATGAACGCTGCACAAGACAACTTGTCATCCCGGAACCATCCGACTCCATTCGCCGAGTCTCCGTCGTTCTCGCTGCGGAGTCTGGGACTTGGCCGGGGCCTCGTGAGGGCTTCATGATGCAAGCCGCAAGCAATGCTTCCTTCGTTTGTAAGGTCTGGCAGCCAGAGGTTTGTAGGATGAGTGTGCAAAGTATCTTGTGGTTGCATTGGGGACACTGCAGGTGCCGCTGGCAAGTCCAAAGAAGATCAGGACCAGGCAAGCCGACAAAAGAGACAAGATTACGTCGTGGTACTCCCGATACACGACCAGGGCAGCTAAGCCAGCTAGCAGCTAAGCAGTGTTCAGTTCATGTCGTCCGGTGTTTTGAAGCAAAAGGCTGTAACCTGTTGCTGTGGCTTTGTTAGCAAAAGCCAGTGTCGTGCCAGGAAGCAAAGCGGGTGAATTCAGGAACGACCGAAGCAGAGGAGTCGAGTGCCCAGGTGAACCAGCCTGCAGTTGAGAATAAAAGGGTAGAGTAGCCGGATCATGCGCGCCGTCAGGAAAGACTCGAGATAGAGTGCTCCAGATTTGTTGATGATGATGTGATACATGTCGTAATTGGCAGTGTTGCATTTTCACAGTCCGTCTTCTTCAGGCATCCAAGCCTTTGCTCAGCCAGGAGGGTCCGGCAAAGGCGCACCTTTCTTGGGTTCGCCAGACACGTCGCGCCTAGCTGCGGCACGCTGTGATATGCACAGACAGCAACTCTCGAAAACTGCTTCAACCCAAGCGAGACCACACTGGAGGGTGGACCCTTTGCAGGAAGAAACCAAGGAGAAGCAGGATGCGGATACGGAGACCTCCTTCTCACGTGCAGCGGTGCTCTCCTCGGAAGTCGAACGGCGGCCGTCGCAGCATCCTGTCTTAAGTACGGCCGCCATCCAACGGCCGCCATGGCCAGAGCCCAGGTGCTCAATGTGGTTACGAAGGTTCGCAGCGAGGCGGCAGTTGGCATCACCAGTAAGTCCGAGGGGGCTGAACTGCTTTGGGAAAAACCGAACTGTGACAGCCAAGGATACTACCTGAGCTCCTGAGCGGCATTGCTAGCATCTTCGTGTCTGAGCCAGTCCATCCCCAATCCAAGTTACCGGAGTGGCGGAAGACTTTGACTTTTCTTGCCTCCCCACTTCTGTTTGCTGCTCTCCTGCACCACACTGCACCACACTGCACCACTTGGCAGCAAGGCAGGTAGTCATGTAGCAATTTTCGTGAAGGAAGCTGACCTCGTGTGACAGTACACCTACAACAAGCAAAAGCTTTGTTGAGCCAGCTATGTCACTCCCACTCGACGCAAAGGTCACGCAAACGACGTTGAGGAAATCTATCGACGGCTTCCTGACTTGACAAAGGGCACATCCAGCGTTTCTGTAGAACCAGCTCTTCCATCTGATGCCTCTAGATCCAAGTCCTGTCGGGATTGGGCCGCACGCTCACAACCACACTGCATTCTCCACACTGGTTGAGCCGCAAGGGATTTGTAAGAATCGGCCATTCTGTAAAGGGGGAGCATGCTGAGATGAACCCGCAGGTTCGATTCCGATCATGACGATTACCTCGATGCCAAAGAGCTGCAGCAAGCGCTGCGCCCCGACTTTTTGGACAGTCTGGCATGCTGCTGGCCGCCATGAAGCAGCAAAAGTCTGAGGACCAGGATACTCTAGCAGCCGTTGGGGGAGCGGCGGGGGGGGGGGGTAGCGGGTCGTGAGTCAGTTTGCAGGTCGTGAGTCCGCATGCATCTGTCACTGAGAAGCATCAGCACAGACGCACAGCTCTCGGCAGAGTGATCATCCGTGCTAGCGCAATGCTCCAGACTCAGGCAGTACATCGAAGCTGCCCGGCTGCAGCATCAGTGCAACCATGGAGCCTCTTCATGTGCCGAACAGCGTGAGGCAAGTCACAGTGAGGATATTCGCGGCATATTGTCTCAGTTTCTAACTCGAGAGGGGACAGTTTATAGCCTGAGACGGGGCGACTACACCATCGCGGCCAGAAAGCCCACCACAGTCGTCTGGTGTTGTTCTGGATTATCCGGGAAGAAAACCAGAGCGTGAGCCTGCAGGTGCTTTTGAGCGAACAACCTTTACTTTTTATGTCACTTCGTGCTAGATGTCGTGCATCTTTACACCTTGTACAGATGCCAAGAGCTGCGGGAAGCCCAGGATCGAGATGGAACGAGGGAGAAGCCTCTCGCCTGCAGGGAGTTTTGCTTTTCAGGTTGGTGCTTGACTCCTTGCTCCACTCCCTGCAGAATCAAGTTCTGGTAGCTCAGCTGCTCCTACTGCGCTCACTCCAGTTCCCTACTCTGTGCTTGCTTACCAGGCTTTGTGCCAGACTTCCAGATTCTGAAGCACGACAGCTTTCTTTTCCCGTTGTGTCAGGATTAGGAGCCTTGCTTTGGGTGACTGGGGCCCTGGCGAGCAAGGTCTGTTTGCAGCTGGAGCTCCTTCGGGCATCTAAGGTACGGCATGCTCGTCGCAATCCCTGTGACATCCGAATCTCGGCATGATCTCTGTTAAGACCTGTTGCATCCCGACAGATACAACTCACAGCAACTTGCACACTACCTATGCTAGTTGCAGGGAAGACATATGAAAACAACAATGTACCATCTCTGGATTGAAACGGCTGTCCGAGCTCGGAACCTTGCTCAGAAGTCCTAAAGACCTCCGGAATCTGGGTCACCGAAAGTCCCTGCTTGCCTGGCCCTTCATCCCGGTCTTGCGCCCCCAGTTGCAGGATGATGTGCTGTGGGTGCTGGCCCAGTGCGACAGCTCTGGGAATGGCCGCATCAGCCGAGATGAGGTGCGAGCAAGAATTGACGACTGGGATTGCTGCGATTCTGTCCGGCAGAGTTTCGGTCCGGCACGACTTTTCGTTCAGTTTGGCGTAGCAGACTGGCCAATGTGAGCAGAACGGGCAAACAGTTGGAGATGTGACTTTCGACTCAAGACTGCCGATGCCTTCCATAGTTCCATAGTGGAAACTCAAGGAAGTCCGGCATGCTGTTGCGTTCTTCGAGGCAATCCCGGCTATGGCGATGTGGCATGCGCTGGCCGACCGTAACTTTGCTCGACAGTTGCTCGGCAGACAAGCATAGCCGTATCTGTTTGGAGCTAGAATGATGCGGGAGGCACCTTTGATTGCTTGAAGCATTAGCATTGCAGTGCTCTAGCCAGCTAGCCAAACACAATTGCTTTCCTGTACATGAAGAGATGAGCTGGTGCAGCGATGTCGCACAGTGGTACGCGTGCTGGTGCTGTCAACCTATCCGGATGGAGTAGACTCACTGCCGAGCATCGTTTCCGCAGAGCGAGTGTTCTTAGGTCACAGTGCTGTGAAGTCCAGTGACACCGCTTGCGCCTGGTCAGATTCCAGCGCTTGCAGCAGAGCCTAGCTCGAAAACTGCTCCGAATGAAGCACGATGCCCTTCTCGCTATTGGCAGCCAAGCATGCTCCTGAACAGATGCTCTGATCATCCCACATGTCATGCTTAGACTCCAAGAGACATTAATAAATAATACTCCATGCAATTGCCTGAGATGCCCTGGCTGCTCCAAAGCTAAAGAAACCGCGACACACGTGTTCTACCACGGGCCATTCGTTCGAAGTGTGCGTGAGATAGCAGAACCCCTCTTCTGCCATTGGTGGCATCATGCAACCCGGGAAGCGACCCGGCAGATCCTTGAGAGCTTGACATGAAGCTACCAGCAGGAGCACGGACCATGTCGAAGTCTCCAGCTGAAAGTTTAAAGCATTTTTCTGAATCGAGTGTTTCTACAGCATGTCGCAGCAGAGTTGATGACTCCCTTGCAAACTTCCTGCAAAGCAGCTTGAGTTTGCCGCGCTGCGCTGAGCTGGCTCGGAGAGGTGCTACATAAGGAAGGTCCTGAGAAATGTTAGGAAAACCGCCCATCGGAGACCTTGAAAGCCTTGCTGCAGCTGCACATTGACATGCTATTTGTGTCTCACCAGCTGGCCTCCGTTCATGTACCTTCTTGCAGCAGCAATCTATCAGCAATCACTCTGCTGACCGAATGCTGGCGTGGAGAAAGGTAGAGAGCCCGATCTGCATCGGCGGCTTCAACTTGTTGCTGCATTCCCTGTAGGACAGTAGGCACAGGCCACAGAGGTATTTCTATTCATGCTTGCCATGGACTTCCGAAGCTCCACTCAATGCTCGCCCGCAGGTCATCAACCTCGAGAACCGTGGCGGGCTTGACAACGGGTGTTTGTCGATGTGCATCTGCTGCAGCGCGTCATGACATGTCTTCTTGCTGTCCTGCCTCAAGTTCTCAATCGCGCGAGGCAGGAATGAGATGAAGTTGGAGCTCACTAAGTTGCAGGCACCAGAGCTGGCAAAGCTTTGCTGCTGCATTTTCGGTGTGATGTGCAAAGTGCCAGGAGAAGATGGACGAGTTCGTGAAGGAGACAGTGCCAACACCTGCCAACGAGAATGTCTCAGGGCTCACACTCTTGACTTGACATAGAACGTACGGCGCATGGGCCTGCTAGTGCTTCGTGGTTGGATTCCTTTGAACGGCTTTGGTTCTTCGAGCGCTCCATACTTCGTAGCACAGTCCGAGCCAGGAGAAGGCCAAGAACTTCCCCGAACAGCTGGACCGCATCCTCAATTCCAGGCTTTCGGGCGGATTTCAGGCTAACTAAGGGCTCCCCTTTTGTGTATCGGGCTGGCGAGTTGGGTCCACGGATCTTCGGCTTGGCTATGGCCCAGATTTCCGCGGCATCTGTAGTGCGCTGCAGTGGCCAGAGAGGGGTCGTCTTGCTGCGAGAGCTTTGAGACTGTCCAGCCTTTCAGTGATCTCGACGACGGCAACATCATCTTCAAAGGTCACGACGCTCTGGTGCAGGCCTGTCTTGTCTTGCGGTCCGGCACTTCAGCTGGGGATTCTGCACAACCGGTGTTGGACCACGTCTTCAACCCTCAATCCCGGTCATCTGAAGCCCATGATAACATGCTACAACGGTGTCAACATGTTGATGTCGCAGGGCCAGGCGATCGCTCCTCGAATCGCCAATGCGCTGGAGGCATTTCGCAGTAGAAAGTGGCTTTCGCTTCGGATCGTTCCAGGGGACTCCGCTCCCGCTCAATGCTTCATGCACGCCAAGAGTGGGGATGGAGGGTTGACGCGACAACTTCATCCAAGTTTACATGCCCCCGGAATTCTGGTCTTGTTGAGGGTGCACGCTTGTCGCCTATTCCAGCTCCTCCGAGACTTCCTCTCACTCCCCCAAATCTGTCGCCTCCATGACTTCATGTTCTCAGTCCTAAGTTAGTCTCAGTTAGTCTCAAGTCCCACGGCCTCAGCACTCAGCGACTCCTGGTGGGAGGATGGCCAGAAGGACATTGAAGATCAGGGCAAAGAGGGCTTGCAGCACCTGCCTCGGGTCTTCGTCTGCAGAAGAACGAGATCTTGCCTGCGCCGTCTCAACATACATGCCCATGCCGGCCATCTCTTCCTCTGGTCTCAGGGCCACTGAGACTTGATCACAGCTGAGGGACCTGAAGAAAAGGCAGACCGAGGAGCTGAAGGAGGCGAAGGCCATGGCCGTCATGGAGAGTCGAGTCGAAGGAGTCGGGCTACTCGTGCCCAGGACGGGCTGACCGCTACGCTGAAGACCAAGTGCGAGACGAACCTGAAGCTCGTTGAGGTGTTTGAGACCTCCCCCTCTCTTTTTGTTTCAAGAGTTCGGGATCCTTGATAGTCCCCTTCGTCGTGGTTTCAGCTGACGAAGGGTTCTGTTCTGCTGGTGTCGCACAGCTACTACCAAGTATCAGCTTTCAACGTCGGCAAAGATGGCTACTCGTAGTGATTTCTACGGCTGGATCTGAGCGCAGGAGTACGAGGAGCTTCGACTCGCTGAGGAAGCAGGGCTCAAGGCGGCTCAGGACTGCGACAGGGAACTCGATATGGCGTGGCCGATGTGAGTGCGTAACACCTCTGATCCAGCAACATCAGCTGCAGCAGTGCCTTCGCTAAGGCGCCACTGGCCAGCACCACGACCACCAGCGCCGCCGCCACCACCACCACGCGACCACCACCACCACCACCACCACCACCACCACCACCACCACCACCACCACCACCACCACCACCACCACCACCACCACCACCACCACCACCACCACCACCACCACCACCACCAAGACTAAGAAGAAGGGTGAGAGCACCAATGTCGCGAGAAATGATCGAACACGTCGTTGGGTTTCTAGTTCAATCGGCAGGCAGGCGCAGCAATCGCACTGGCGTGGTTTTCAGCGCCCAGCCGGACTACATTTGCAGCAAGTGAGATTCGGCAAGTGCTGAGACTATGCCGAGGCGTTGAACATCGTACTAACTGGAACGGAACCTGGGAACTGAGCTACAATCAGGACGAGCTGGACAGCCTCTATTCTCTGGTCTTTCGCCTTGCGCGGGGCTCGGTTTCAGAGGGCATGCGATGTCCTCGGTCGCAAGGCTCAGACGATCTTCATGTGCTTATACTTGCAGCTTCGGGATGTGAAGGTTGGGATGCTACTATGTTAAACAGGTGGCAGAATGTTTCGGTCCTGGAGGCTTGCACAATGGACCCAGCCGCAGGTGAACCTGATTTCTGACACGGAGGAGGGTGTCTATCCGGTGATGAGGCGCAGAAGGGAACCACTCCAGGGCATTGTTGAAGAGGCAACACCATCTCTGATTCGTCGAGTCTGTTACAGAGTCCATGTACGCCGCCGCCAGCCTCAGCGGAACATAGCCACGGCTGCTTGAGCAATTTACTTGTCATTGCGAACCTGCCTCGCCATGGTGCGAAAGAACCTGCTCTCTTATGCCCTTCTGCTTGCCGTCCTGATGCCGATCGGGATCAACCGCAGCCTTCCAGACAAGGTCTGATTGACAAACGTGGTGCTTCTGGGGTAGGCCTATGCTTGTTATGCAAGTAGCAGTAATGAGCAAAGAACCCTCGGGGTCTGAGCTTCTCTGCCGACTTTGTTCTTCTTCAGTCATCATTTGGCACGGCCCGACACTCCTTGTCGACTCAGTCCGCTATTCTTTTGCCTGAAATCTGAAGGCTTTCGCAACGACGAGCTTGAGGAAAGGATCGGATTCGTCATTCTGCTTCGGCACGGTGAGAAGGGGGCAGACTAGACTGGCGAAGACCCGCAGTGTTTCCCAGAAAGCTGGAGGACGCGCAGCATCCACACTTTCTTACTACCTGGTTTGGTCTCCGGGCATTTGGCCAAAGATGGTGTTCTCCTTTGCCACACTAGTCACTCTTCAGCTTGTGGGCGGCCATCTCTTCAGGGTGAGTGGCCTAGCATGTCCAGCCAGTCTTTCCCTTGTTCGGCCCATCTGGGACCTTCTCCTGCTACCGCTACTGTCGAGTGCCTGCTGCGGAATTCAGCTCCTTGTCAACGCATTGGTCGGAGCTAGTGGCTGCGCCGGATTCAACAAATGGTTTGGCCCTCTTCGGCCGTACTTTCTCGGATCTTTGCTCAGCACGACGATTGTATCCATTTTCCGGAGACACGCGGATTTTCGTTTCATTTGGTTGCAGTGCATTCTCGCTTTTTTGCCGGAGCTTGTCCACCTTTGGAATCTGCACGGACCTCAGGGGCGGGGGATCAACACTGCACCCTCACACACCGTTGACCTAAGCATTGCCAGCATGGGCTGCGTGGCCTGCATCAAGAAGGCCGGGCGGCGAGTTCCCAAGAAGTTGGCTCCTCTTGCCTCTCCCCCTTTATTGGAGACTGCTCTCTACTACATATACATACACACCTAAGATCGTACCTGCCACCCCAAACCCACGCCCAAGCTGATCATGTGCTACGTCCACCGGAAGTTCTTTCATCTGCCTGCATTCGCGTTTCGCATCATCATCGAAGTTTCTTAAATCCAAGAGCTTCCTGCCTGAGTTGCAGCATTTCCGCAATTACCAGCGTTCCAACATTTCCCAAAGTTACCAAAACGCGGAATTAAAGCATGTAGCTAAAGCATGTCAGTTCTGAACACTTGGGAGACCTACCAAAAGCTTTCTAAAATTCGGTGGTATCTATAGAATTATATAAGTAAAGTTCGAACTCCGAAATACCCCCTTGCAGGTGGAGACCAGCCTCCGCGAGGTCCCCGGCGTCTTGCGCTCGGAGGCCTGGCTCGAGACGGGAATCGGCGGAAGGGCTCGGGTCCAGTGCGGCGTCTCGGAGACGGAGGCGCGCTTTGGGCGGAAAGTCCCAAAAGAGCCATTAAGGCGTCCCTAGGCTGCGGCATGCTGCGGTATAGGTATAGTTCTTTATGTAGTCATCACCCTAAACTAGATGCCTTGTAAGCCCATATAAGCCCTACGCCCTGTTTTGCGTGCTTTTCCTGAGAAGGTTCCTGAACTGACAGCGAGGCTTTCAAGGGCCGTTGAACGTGCAGGCTTCGAGCCTTGCAGGGTGGTGGGCGTGAATCTGGGAGAGCCCTAGCTACCCGACACCATTCTCCGACAAGGTAGACCCAACGACCAAGCAGACGATGAATCCAGAGCTACAGAGACCACGCCGTACTCCGAGTGCCAGGTTCAAGATGAACGTGAGAGTCATTGACGGGCTGCAAGCAACGACATGGGCGAGTTATGGGCGTGACAGAGCTCTCGCTTCAGCGAGATTAGCGGGACGTCAGTGACAAAATTTTCTGCGCGAAAGTCCAGGCTCCGTGAGTCAAAAGGGCACGATTGCCGAAGAAGGGATCGGGATGCAGGGAGGAGCGCGCAAAGCCTCTCCACAAGTTTTCATGCCGTTGCTGTTTCGCCTCACAGCTTATTTTCTTGCGAGTACGTACATAAAACACGTGAGGAGGGCAGAAGACCACACTTGACAGCCCTGCTGGGTGCATAGTACCTGGTTGGTTGATCCCTAGTTGGCCGGCCAGCACTGACAAACCCAAGCGCTCCCCGCCCCCACACGGTTAAGCCCCCGTGGCTCGAAGGCTTTCATAAAGAGCATCAACCGACCCTCTTTTTGCCTGTCACGCCTAATCCGCAGCTCAACTAGCAGAGGGGGGCTTTTATATTGACTGTCCGAGAGCAGCTTGGGCTTGGACTTGCTGATGGCGGCAGCCTCAGAGCACCTGCAAACCAGCAGAGTTTGTTTGCTTAAGGGCTTAAGCATCAGCTGGTTCAGACAAAGCTGCGACAATCAAGCCCGACTACACAGAACACGGGAAAGCGAGAGAGAGAGAGAGAGAGAGACAGAGAGACACCAACAGTGGCATGGACATAACCGGTTTACCCTACATACGAGATCTAGTTGTTGAGTTTGGTCCAGCCAGTCTAGTCCTTGTTCGGTACAACAACCACCATGCCAACAGACTAGCCTGTCGCACTTAATACAGTGCTTCCAGCCAACAACGGGCTGCTCCCAGTGGGGGGTTCGCCCCTCAAGCCTGGACACCCAGTTATGAAAGACAGAGACAGACAGGCAGGCAAACAGACAGACAGAGACGGAGACGGAGCGGAGACGGAGACGGAGACAGAGACGACCGACAGACAGACAGATGCCGAGAAGCACATGCAGGCATATACAGATATACGGATACATACTTATGTGTGCATATATATATATACACACACAAACATCAAATACATATACACATGCATGCATGCATACATGCATGCGTACATACATATGTGCGCATACACACAGACGAATAGATATCTAGATACGGAGCGACTCTGTTTTGAGATCAGATCTTCCATTGGAGCTGCGTGGCCGTGTTGCCGTCTCACATATAAGGCATGCCCCGCAGCAAGCTAAGCAGTAAATGTTGACCTCTGTTTGTTCCCTTTTCCTCTGTGTAGCCAGGCAAGCGGCTGCCTTTTTCACTGGATTGTCCAGGCTGTGGGCACGCCTCCTGACTCCTGTGGCACTGCAACTACTGCTGCCACTGCATCGCTTCACCACGAGGACGGCGCCGAACAAGCTTTGAATCCCCCAGCTGCGCTCTGACAGAAGATGAAGAATTCTATAGGCTTTAAGTAAGCACCTAGTAGTCGCCGGGAATTGGTCGCCCGATGTCGTGAAGAATAGAAGAGTCTGCAACTTTGAGCTGGCCTACATGGGATTGATTGATGTACTCAAACAAATGAAGCCCCTTTGCTCTTTAGCTGCTACCCCAAAGCTTTGGGCTGGCAACAGCTGCTACATCAGTTTCAGAAGTAAAACCAAGACACAGGACAGCGCATCTTCTTCGGTGGACGTCGGGCAGCCTTGCGAGACGCAGGAGCATCCACATCTGAGCCCATGCTTTCGGGATTTAGCCCTGATACTGTACTGTTCGAGCTCGAAGATTGTATCCCAGCGGTGCAGGCTTCTGCAGTCTCCAGTGCGACTGCCACACGGCCGCACAAGAAGACCTCGAAGCCAACAAGTCATCGGATTCAGACGGTCATGCTTGGTGCTGCCCGTCTGAGATCTGAGGCCTCCAAAGAGAAACCAGCCGGTCGAAGTGATATGGAGGAGCGACAGCTCTCCTGCCGATGCTGACATTTCACTCGCCTGTCTAACAGTTTGAACCTGACTGCATTGCAGAATACTTGACAGGGTTGCGATTGCGACTGTTTGCCCTTCCGCCAGACCCACGTCCGGGTCGTGGCTCGATTCAGACCCCCAGTCACGGACGAAGAGTTCAACGACCAGCCGGTCTTTTTGCTGCGTCCAGGCCAGGTGTCCTTGTCGGGGTCGGGGGAGTGTCATGCGATCACTGTCATGTGATCCTGGACTCAGGCGACAACTCCAATGCCATTGACAGTGGAGTGGCAGAAAATGCCACAGTGGAGTCTCAGGATGGGTCCGGGCCCCTGTTGTGAAATTTCTGGCAGGCTCGAAGCTCCCTTGTCACTGCGCCGTTGCGCGCATAAAACGAATGACAAGCATAGGAGCAAGTTAATTCGATGCAGTGGCCACGCTGTCGCTCCCCGATTCAGGGCAAGTGTCCATGATCTGTTTTGAGGCGATGGACCTTTGAATTCGACACAGCGTTCAGTGAAGAGGCCAGGCTGGACGACAGCCTGGAGGGACACTGCCTGACAGATTTCGACAGGTTAATGGAGGGTGGGTGCAGTGTGGTACTTGCGAAGTTTGGATCATGCTCCAAGATCGCTGGCAATCCCCAAGCTGCCAGGCAAGCCAGCACGTGGTTTATGACCGAATTGGCCAACCGGCCGTGCAGGATGTTCTTGCGGGCCAGAGACCCGAAAACCGGCTCCATCTTGTCCTAAAATCCTGGTGACGTCTCGGCCCAGGCTACAATGGAACGATTCTGACGTACGGTCCGGTCACTCAGCCCTGTGCGAAGCACGTCGGGAGGCTGGTCCTCAGCTTCGATGCGTCCTGAGGTCAGACAGGAAGTGGGAAAACATTTACCCTCTTTGGGCCAAGTTTCACGGAGCTGGCGTCTCAGCAACGAAATCCCGAAAGGCAAAGACTCGCGAGCGTGTGCTTCTGCTGTTCGGTGCTCCTTCGCATATAAACTAGACCTGTAAGCCCCGGGGCATGTAAAGATGTCTTCTGGTCTCAAAGCCCTAAACTTCCTAAACCCTACTCCGAACAACCTAGCATCCTCTGAGGCGGGAGCTGCGTGGCCTCGCGCCAAGAGCCGCGGAACAGCTGGCGGGAGGGAGGGGGGGGCTATCAGTTCTTGGGAATTGAGACAAAGGATGCATTATCATAAGCTTGCTTTGGTAGTAATTATCACTATAGTAACATATAGTAACCGTCTTATTGTAGTAACCTTTTCGCAACCTTACCATCCGAATAACCGATTCGGAGATTCAGGGTTTGTGTTTTTGTGAGGTCGGAGATTTGCATCCCAGCTGTCGACAGCGGCGACTTCCTCCCTTCAGAATGTCTCAGCCAAAATCGGAGATCCTTCCGGACAGCCCTAAGCCCTAAATCGTGGGTTCATCATCCCGGTGGTCTTCTACCCTCGGCTTCGGATTCGAGCCTTTCTCGCACATGTGAGCGGGAGCAGACCTGGTGGCTGGTGTGTCTGTGACTATTTGTACAGCCTGACGGCTTCAACTCACAGAAAGCTTCTGCAGTCTTATGGGCCATCCGTGGTTGACATACCTTGGGCAGGTGCAGGAATGCCTGGAGAGACCAAGCGATTCTTGGCTAAAGCTCGTAAGATGTTTTTGGATTGTTAACAAGAGCCGCGTGCTCTACATTGGCGATGGTTTTTGGAGGTTCTCTGAGCCGTGCGAGGGAGTGCTTTTTCGATTGCGAGTAGTAAAGTTGGCGAGTTTCCACCCCTTTTGCCCCAAGGTCCTGAGAGCAAAAAGCCTTGGTTCAACAGTCCTATTACTCGGGACACTCAGGAGCTGGAGCAGGTTTCCATCTACTGCACCTTCCTGGAGCCAGAGTCCCGGACGCCACGGTATCTACGGGTACGCGAGTGTGACGAGACTGGGTGGGTTCGGGTCGTGAAGCATAAATGCGTGCTTGCTTGCTTCCTTGCTTGTTGGCTGTCTTGCTTGCTTGTTTGCTTGTTTGTTTGAAGTATTTGCTCATTTACACCGTACTTTCTTCCTTCTTCTTCTTCGCTCGCTTGCTTGCATGCTCTCCCACTAACATAAGTAGTTGCTTAATTGCCTGCGCGCTTGCTTGCTTATCTTGCCTGCTCGCTTTCTTGATGAACTGTTTGACTTTGTATTTGCCTCTTTACTTCACCGACACACTTTGTTTATTTCCTGATGACACGTAGGTCTGTAGTTGCTTTCCTCCTTCCTTTCTTCTCTCCTTCCTTTCTTGCTCACTTGCTGACATGCAAAGGCACACATAAGCATTAAACACACCCTTATGTACATCAACCCCTCCATCCATCTATCACTGAATGCATCCCTGCCTACATACACATACATGCAGGCATGCCTGCATTGCAACTTGTATACTGGAGACAGCAGGTATGGTGATACGCGATCATCTATTATGTTCCAGATTGCCATCGAAGTGGTCAGTATTTGCATCTAGCAAGTGCCAACGGAATGAAACAACTGATTCTGCAAAGTGGCACACAAGCCAACTCAGGATTTACCGGGAGAGGATGCGAGACTTACTCCACCCGTCGAACCAGAGTGGGAGCCTCAGTCAACGCACTCCAAGTGAGTTTTGCATGGCACCAGTGCTTTGCATGTGCATCAGGGCTGCTCTCAGGATGCTGGAAGTCTAGTTCAAAGCTGAACATTTCTGTCCTGCGCTGCGCCTTGGTTTGAGGTCTCCGGATCAAGGAAATACCCCAGAGGGGCTTGATCGTAGATGGCTTGACTCAGGACCACGGCTGCAGGGGCTGAAGGGCATTAGAGCGAGCTGGTCATGATTCAGTCGCAATAGGTATGATTGCAACATTGTGTGAGGTCACTTCCTCGGCGACGTAGGTCTGCGCGTGAAGTTTTGCGCTTTTAATCGTAAGTGCATGTCATGCCCACAGGGCGGATGGTATGTTGGAATCGCATTTTCGCGGGCATTTGTTTGATGGTCTCGCTGCCTGTTCACACGGGCCATGCCCAAGCTAAGCTAACAGATCACCACCATGCCGATCTTGAAGTGAGGCAGCGACGCTGTTTCGGTCTCCCCTCACTCACACCTCGGCCTGACAGGACGAAATCAGCAGCACCAAGGATGTTTTCAAAGCGCTAAATGCAGGCAATGCATGGCGCTCTGTCGTGACGAGCTCAGATATCGCTACATCTGTGTACAACTCGCTCTTATGCTCACCATGTAGTTTCCTGCTTGCCTTTCACTGCAAAGCAATTGGCTGCATTTGCCGAAGCATGTCTGCTTTGGCCAGGTATCTTTTTGCAAGGTACTTTTGCTCGCATTACCTTGCCTCACATGTTCTGCACTCAGCTTGACCTCTGAAGGCAGCTACGAGGCAGAATCAATACTCTTCAAGGTCTCGACCTCAAGAACATAGCGTGAAGCAGCACTCGTACAGGATCACGACCCTCAATGACCCTCAACCACTTGCGGTGCAGTTGATCTAATCTTCAGCTCAGGTCACACGCCATCTTTACCATTTACGCTGCGACCTTGTGGTGAAAGCACCGGTGTTGTTTTCAATTTCCGAAAAAAAGACTTGCCTTTTTGCCGAAGCTTCTTGGGCCACTGTCTGCACTCGTGTTGGACTCGAGGTTTCCCGCCGCTGCGCCTCGGGGAGCAATGTGCGGGAGGAGAGAACCTGTCTCACGTTTTGCTTTGAGGGCGATTTCCTGCAGTTGACTTTTTCGGAATCTCGCAGCCATGACGACAGAGCACTGTATAGACCCTGGAACACAAGCGTCATTACGCCGGATTGACGAGAGTCTATCTCTATGTCGCCAAAAATATGTATGTATATATGCACATGCAAGGGTACACAGTGCATACATGTATCTCCGTCACACAGGCATGTGTGTGTGTGCATGTGTATTTTCTGATTTCTTTAGGCATGCATACACACACATATATATATATATATATATGTATATACAGACAGAAATACATGTACATGTACAATGTAGATGTAGGTATAGATGAGATGCGAATGTAGACGTAGAAATGCTGTCATATGTATATTATTATGTAGACGTTTACTTATGTGTAGAATTGTATGCGTAAGTGAGTCGTACATGTGTATGTATATACATGTATATGTATATGGATATGTATATATCTACATATATGTGTATGTGCACACACATGTATGTATGTATATATATATATCTATATATATATATATATACATAAGCAGGTGCATGATATGTATTTGAGTGTATACTTGATTTTGTACATGTAATGAGTAGCTGTAGATGTATGCAAACGTAGATGGTAGATGTATGTGTAGACATGTAAGAATACACAAATATGCACACCTGTATACATGTGCGTGTGTATCTATTCGTCTATGTATATATATATATAAGGTTGATTGTTCTATCATATTATACAATATACTATTTAAATGAATGATTCCTGCTCTGTGCCAGCGCTCGGGCAAGCTGTCCCTGGTGGACCTGGCCGGCTCGGAGCGTGTCAGCAAGGGGACCTGGATAGTTTAGGTTTTGGATTTGCTTTGAGAGTTGAGGGCATCGGCTCCTTAGGCAGGGCTCTGATTCTGCATCCGACTTTTTTATGTGTCATTTCTCCGGATCAGATGCTCTGTAAGGTCGGAGCCACTGTGTGGGCGAAACCCTCGAAGAGGCCAAGAAGATCAACTCTTCGCTGACGGCCCTTGGTAAGGCTCCGTTCGCTACCCGCCAGGGATCTAGAGTGTGCATGTGCAGAGTTTGAGCCAGTTGGAGGGCTCATGTTATGCAATGATGGAAGGGTGGGAGGGATTGACCTTTGCAGGTGTTTTTGTACGTATATATGCAAATATATATATATATATATATATATATATATATATATGCATATATATATATATACACAGACAAACGCGCATGTGTACACTCAGACTTCTTCTCAGTCTCACACACATACAAGTCATGTACCTGGATGCAAATCTCGACAGTTCTATCAGAGGCACTCTCAAACAAGGCACTTCCCGAACTGCATCTGAGCAGCCAGGCATACACACACAGATAAACACTACCGGTGGTCGTGTTCAGCGAATAAGTTTGCCGGCAACCCACTCTATGGCAGGTCATTGATGCTTTGGTAGAGCGTCGCGGGCATATTCCGCATCTCGGCCTGGGCTGACTTGGCAGGTTTGGCTGAAGACTCGCGTGTATATCACAGACAGGTGCAGTAAGAACTCAAGAGCCCAAGGGTTCACTAGGCAGGCTTTAAAAAGTTTGATTGAGTTGGTTTGCACTTGTGGTGTGTGTTCGTCGACGTAAGAAATCGAGTCAGAGATTCGGCAACCTGGGCTAGAGTGGTTTTACAGAGTGTGGAACAGGTACCGTGACTCAACTCTGACCCGGGTGCTGGAAGAGGCGGGCAGCTGAAGGTATGGAGTAGATGAGGGTGGAAGACTACAGGCAGTTTGAAGACGTACTGTCAAAATAACGCATGTGCAATCCTGCGCGTTCGCCTCAAAGTTGTCTGTCAGGCGCTGGGTGGCAATTCCCGCACCACACTTTTGGTCGCTGCGTCGGCTTGCGCCAGGGCCTCCTATGCAGTCTACCGGGGGTTGAAAAGTGATCCTGAGCCCCGTTCCAAGGCACAGTACCTGGACGAAACTATTTGCTCGCTTCGGTTCGCTTCAAGAGCACAGAAGGCTGCCCCTGGTCAGATGACTGTGGAAAGCGTGTCCGAAGTGTCCAAGAACCACATTCACAAAGCCATGTCACTCCTTACATCCATTGTCAATTGGAGGTAGTTCTCTTCTTGGAGTTTAGTAACATTCCCTAGCAGAGAAGATAAGCTCAGCGGTGGGCGGAAAGCACTACTCAGCAGCAGGCAACTACTGTCACTACCGTAGCTGTCGCTCGGTCGTGCAGGTGAGCAATTTTGCCCAAGTGAACTTTGTCTACTCCGCGGAAGAACTCCTGCCGTTGGCGACTTGTCCTGCATTGTGGACAACAGCAATGTTGAAAGCGAGGCCCTAGCAAAACACGGACACAGATAGCACGCGTCGCTTACTTGGCGAGCGTATGCCGTCCGGGCGTAGTCACAGTCTTGGAAGCATGTCGAGGTAAGCCAGTTGCAGCGTGAGCTTGCTGCTGCCCGGCGTGAGCCGCGCCCTAAAGAAGTGTGGAAGAAATCTGGGAAGAAGGGTAACATCAATATAGTGTTAAAGTTCTGCTGACTTGACTGCATGTCGAGGCTTGCGCATCAGAGTTTGTCAACAAAGTCGCTCAGCTTGCCGCCCGAAGCTTGGCCTAGCCAGTGCCAGAGAACGGCGACAGTCTCCATCCATAGTTCCATAGTTGCTGTCTGAGTGACGGGGCCCTTAAGTCCAACGAAAGGAGGCATTTGTTTTACCAACGTGAGGCGGGCTCGCGCGAGGACAAGCTCTACATGCTCAACAGACGACACCAAGGCATCGGAATTTCGATTTGTTCCAAAGGCGTCCTCAATATCCAGCAGCACATTGGGCATTCCGAAAATCAGGGATACCTTGGCGGAACTTAGTGTCGGGATTATGCAATCCACCAGGTCTAACAGCCTTGGGTTGCTTTGTGGTGCACAAGGTGTAGTTACCACGACTAGATTCGTATAACGATGACAAGGGTTTCCTTACAGCACTCCTCTGGCGTGCTTATGTCTGCTTGAGTGCAGCCATTTCACCGAGAAAGTTTCATCAGCCCAGAGAAAGTGCTCGAATCGGTCAGGTGGAATGGAACCCCCCAAACATCAAAGGGTTGGGACCCGGTCGTAATTCCCGGTCATACTGTGAAATCTTTCAGACATCTTGACAGCTGCTGCTAGGAGTCGTTTGTCCGCATTCCGTTGCCAAAATGCATTGAGCGTGTCTGGAGCTCAGCTATCATACAGCGCATTCGGAGGGGCTTCAGGGGTCCTGGCTATGCGGAGGCTGCTTTGTTTGTGTGGCTCGCACCTGGCATTGCTCTCAAAGAAACACCAACGTGTTGGTGCCCAGGATGTGTCCACCTTGTCCACCGGCCTGTCACGGCATAGCCATGCTCCCAGAGGTATCCAGCAAATTGAAGTCGATCTAGATGGAGAGGCAGGAGGCAGACGGCACCAGGCTTCAGAATCAGATCGCAGAAGCCAAGAGCTTCTGATTCTGGCAGCTCCCCCACAGATATTCCACAGCCCCCACACGGCAGTAAAAGCAGTTGAATCTGGTATCAGGCACACTCTCGGCGGAGTCACCTCGCTCGGAGCAAAGCCAAGGACCAAGCACCGTCAAGCACCACTCGCTAGTCACTGCTAGTCCTGGGCTCCCTTTCTGCTGTGTTGGTTAGGCTCGCCAAGTGCACCTCCGTCAAGGCTCCGCCGGAATGGCTCGCACGGTCTTCACTACGACTCAGTCGAAAAGACACAGAACTGTCTCTCCAGAGCCGGTGGAATAACCTACAGGAGGACCTAGAGATGGTAAGAAGCATCTCAACGTGGCAGGTCGGGCGCCGATGAGTTGGAGGATTCTGCATCGTCGGCGTCTTGGCGGTCTCCGTGCTCGAACCAGTCCCGAGAGCCGCGATGCGGAGAGTCTTGAGTCGCATTCGTCCCGATGCCTGCAAGGCAGAGAGAGCGAGAGAAAGCGAGAGAGAGAGAGAGATCGGTCCAACCAGAGCTCCGCGTCTGAGTGTTGCAGAGGGAAGCAAAGACCGGATCTTTGGGATTTTCTGCTGCTACAGGCTTGGGCTTGGGACACTTGGTTGCTGTGTCGTAAAAGGCGGGCCAATGCGTGAGGCACGAGGTACTGGCAGCGGTCCACAAGCCTCACAGAAACAGAGGAGACAGAGAGAGAGAGAGAGAGGGAGGGCAGTTTGCTCCGCCTTGTGCGTGGGGGACGGGGACCGCCCCTTAGAATTCTCGGCCGATTGCCTCAGGCTGTCGCCACCCCAGCCTTCCAGTGAGGTACTGCGCTCAGGCTTGTGTGATCCGTAACTCATAGGACTCATAGGTGTTCGCTGCTTGATTTCTTGCTGTGGCACAGAATGCGATCCTCGGAAGCTTAGTCTCGGGGTGTTTAAACGTGCCTTTGGCGACTTCCAAGGCATTGGCGCAAAGTGCTGCTGAAGCTCTGCGATGCCTGGAGGAAATGCTCCTAGCACAAGAGGAGGTGCGCCCTGGGACCTCTCGAACAAAATAAGCACCACTCCTCAATAAGAGTTGGCTGGAAGTTTGCCTCGCGTGATTGCACGAAACCACATTTAGGATTCGTCTTTTTTGGGTTCCTGAGACAATCGAATGCAGCGTTGTGGCAGTCAGTTCTCAGTGCCGGAGGCATTGGAGAAGGCCCAACTCCTGAGTGTGAGTCGGGAGGCGCCATGTGGGACGCATCAGGGGTCGAGGGTGGTTGCCGATTCTTGGGGATCCAGCATAGCCCTGTGCACCAGAACTGCAATGCTGATCGACAGAAACGATGCACAAGACTTCTTGTTGACGGACTGCCTACAAGGCCTAGTGCCCTTTATGCCCTGTGTCTATGTTACAAGCTCGAGGCGCGACCGTCCAGGCAGACGAGCTGCAGCCACATGGCCGGTTCCGTTCACGCCAGTCCAGTTCTTGATGCCTGGACGGACAAAACGCTCAGGTGATCCCGCATCGCAGAGCCCTGTGAGCCCAATCAGCCGAAAAACGGTGACGTCCGCCGGATCAGATGAGCTCGACCTCAAGGTGTGTTGGGGTGTTTGTATCTTGTGTCTTATCCCGTATTGGAGCCTTGTTCGGGTTCGGATGCTTTCGACGGGAAGGTTAGGTTTCAGTACCGCAGGCCTGAGGAAGGCAGCATATTGTTGTTAGACGCCTCGATGGCAACATGCTCTTGCGCATTGGCCACGCTGTTCAACTGTTGCGGTTTTTGGTTGAGAAGTTTTGCACTCCTGCTGGGCTGGACGAGCCATAGCCATGCCTGCGTGCTGCATAGCGGGACGGAGCCTAGTTAGGAGCACGGGCGAAGTGCGGAAGCCTTAAGACATGGGGTCAGCAGCGGATCTTCACAGGACGGGCGTGCACATCTGAACTGCACCTGGAGCTCCGAAGGAGAAAATGTCGTAAGCTCAGAGCAGCTGGGCCAGGAGACCTTGAAGTTCTCGCAACGGCATGCAACCGTTTTGGTCATTGCTACTTGTATTCGTCTCATGTCCCAAGAGCCTCACAAGAGTCGATGCGCTGAAGCCCAGTTGAATCGCCTTGCTGTGAAGGCCTTTGCACTGCGATGGCGCTGTTTGCGACAGGCGGTGGAGGCTCTGGTATTTCTACATCCTTTATGTACATCCTGTACCTGGGCATGCATGTAATTTCCGGTGTAGCTAATAGGTGTCTACGTCAGATACATTAAGTCATTAAGTACAAATGTACAAATAAAGATAAGTATAAAGATAGGCATATATGCATGTGTGTGTATAATAATATAATATCTATGTATAGAGAGAGAGAGAGAGAGAGAGAGAGAGAGAGAGAGAGACAGAGACTGCAACTCGGGGCATATTTTGTTGTGCATTGCCTTAATCTGGAGTACCCCAAAGCCGTCCACTCACTAATACAGTGTGAGGGACGGGCGGGCGCAACGCCTGAGGGTCGGCCAACCGACCCCTAAGCCCGGCAGAAAGAAAGAAAGAGACAGAGACAGAGAGCGCCGATAGATAAAGAAAGAAGGCGGGGAGTACATGGGCGTAACGTGGTAATCCAGTCGAGTTTTCCTGTCGTCGAAGTGCTCCTGTAAGTACTTCACTACCCGGTGCAAGGCCAGGGCGCTTCGCTGGCGCTTGCAACGCTCTTGCCTCAGGGTGTTAAGCAAGTCTGCGGCCTGATAGGCTTAGACCGCGACAGTATATTCGGACAGCCCATGCTACAGCATCGCAGTCTACAGTAGATTTGCGCAAGATTCGAGACGCGAGACTGCTGCACTGCTAGATTCGAGAGCAGAATTCACGGCATATGAAAGCTTTCATGGCAGGCGAACGTCACCGCGCGGAGAGCATGCAGTACGAGCTTCAGCTGAGGCCTGGCCTTTGTAGCTATGGCTTTGCATGTAGTTTTTCCTGGATAGGAGCTCCCCCTGAGGTAGTCACGTGAAGTAGAGCTACATTGGCTCGTTTGGCACACCAGAATAGCAGGCATGAAGTTGCCGCAGATACAGCTTCGTCAGCACGCTGCACAGCAACATCCTGTCCTTGTTAGTTGTGAAGCCTTCGTCCGTCAGGAATCGCTACACCTCAGATCTCGAGAGAAGACTGGAGGCTTGTCCCATACTGGAGTTGGTGGCAGTCAGCAGCCTCCCTGTGTAAACAGAGCCGTTTCGTTTCTCGAGGCTGCCCAGGCAGAGCTAACTTTGCTGCGGGCTCCGACGGATGGGGCCGGCTGGGAGCTGAGTTTTATGTCATTTTATGTATGTAGTAGGGTAGGCAAAAAGCCATTTTTGGATATAAGTGACCTATAACTGATCTAAAGGTTAACCTTAAGGCATGACTTTCCTTGTAAGGTTCGTGCAGGCATTAAGCGGCCTCAGAAAAACCTTTAGTTCCGCTAGGGACTGGACAAGCAGTTTACATTAGATGGTTGCCGAAAGGTTTTGTAGGCTTTGAGTTTCCGGATGCTGCGACTGAAGCTTCTGCTTGGGAGGTAGTTTAGAAAAATCGCTACTTCGGGTTCTGTGGGTTTGATCTCTGTCTAGTTTGAGAGGCAAGTCGTTCCTCGACCCTCACAGAAGAGCTTCGTATCCCGCTATAGTAGGGGAGTGATGCTGAGCTCATTCGTGGCATGATGCAGATCGTCAATGGCTGATCTTACATCCGGGGGGTCGCCTGCCTGCCCAATCCGACGACACCCGCCCGAATTGAAGCTGGGGCCTGGGGGGTGTCCAAAAAGTGGCCCAGCTGAGGTGAGCGGCGGCCGTCCGGGACCGGCGACTCACCGACGAAGCGGCGGTCGCTGCAGCCTCAGAGCCGAGTCTCAGAGCACCCGCTCCGCAGGCTTAAACCCTTTAGACGGCTCGGCCCTGCATGGTGTGACGACTCTACACCATTAAAGCGCTCTGCACTGTAGCCATCATCCCCCAGGTGAGTTCGGACACACCTCTCAATTCGGATCATTTTATGTAATCAACTCAATCCCGCGGTTGGCAGCTCTGGTGCCAATGACAAGCTCTCGAGGGCATGCCTATCATGCCTACTTCCAGACAAGCACGCTATGACTTACGCCACGCAGATCTATTGAGGATACACATAGATACAAGCTTACCCTGTTATACATCATACCTTCGATGTCACGCTGGAGTTGGAGAGAGAAGTCCTGTTTGTGCACAGCCGCGCATGTAACTCCCCCTCGCTGCCGGTCCCCTGCCTCAGGCTCAAAGCCTCAAAGTCGATGCCTCGCTTTTCTTCGCCGTCTGACGCAAAGTCCGGCGAGGTCGCTGTCTTTCCTTTGTGCTCGGGGATTTATTTCACGGGGTCTCTTCACCCTAGACCTCCGAAGAAAGCAGGTTTGCAGTGAGCAATGGTCCCAAAGCTCCGAGAGCTGCCTCAAGAACAGCCCCAAAGCTACCCCGCCCAACGACATGAATACCTGACCAGATTCTGATTGTGCGACATGCCAATGTCAAAAGATTAGGAAAACCTGGCGTCGTGCAAGCGAAGACTACTGGCAGCTGGGATGGTGCGATGACTGCACCGCTTGCACCCACGGCTCTTGAGAAATAGAGACTGCCGGCACAAGCCAGAACGTTAAGCAAGATAACAAAGACCGTGTTTGCTCGGAATCATGCTCCGTTCATATTGCACAATCTCTGTCCTTGCAATTACGTGCCGCCTGGGCATGGCCAAGATGCTTGGGCTACGTTAGTTGTTCCCTGACCTGCTTGCAGGCCGCACCGGCAATGACCCATGCCAAGTCCCTGGGAGGTTGCACGGATGCGAGGGATCAGTGTGGGACCAAGACGGCGGGCACATGGAATGACACATTTCAGGCACCCCTTGGCAGTCCGGACAAGATACGTTCGGCCAGCATTGTAAGATGTCTAGAACATGCAGTGCTTGCATTGCTCCCATGACAGATCTGGGTCGCACGGCCTGTGACTCTGGTACTTCTCTTTGACCCCATCCGACTCACGAACTTCACCCCTATGCTGTTCAGGCCCGACTCACCGACAAAGCGGCGGCATGGCCCCCAAATGTCGGGACATGGTACTATTCGAGCTGAAATTTGTTCGAGATGAGGCACCAAGCTTCAAGATGATCCTGCGCTTTGATTTTAGTCACTTCGTCAGTTAAGCCACCCTGCACAAGCCTCCAAACAAGCCGCAAAACAAGGCTGAAGGCTCGTAGCTTGTTCAACCCCGACTTAGGCTCAAGGCCTCACGTTCTGTGCCGCGCTTTGCGCCCTCGACGCCCACGGATGCATGGGGTCCTGGTTGTGCTGGCAATGTGACGCTTGGGGTTTTGAGATCGTGCCGAGCTGGGTACGGTCGAAGCACCGTATAACACTTCGGACATCGGTTTCCTCTTTGTGATTCGTCCATGATGTGGGGGGCAAGATGAGCAGGACATCCGCTTGGCCCGGATAGTTATGTCTCTCGACCTACTGTAGTGAAGCAGTTTTGATCTAGCGGCCATCGTGTGTGCTCCATTGTTTTCAGGGGGGCTGCGCCTGTGGGCCTAGGCGTCGTCGAAGTCCGCGAGCGTCGCCGAGAACCCGTCTCCGCCGAACGATCAGTCTCGGGCTTGGCTTCGGGAATTCGTCTCTTGGCTCTGTGTAACAATGAGGGATACTCCTCATGATACCTCTTCCATGTCCGGCCGGTGGCTTTGAATCTGCAGGCTCCGGGCTTTGCGAGAAGCTCAGTGTGCCGGACCCTCAGCGCCCTCATGGAACTTTAGGAATTGCTCAGTCCAAACATGTCTCGGTCACGTAGACTCTTCGAGACTGGGCCCAGCTTGAATTCAGCAGCAGGTCCACAGAACGTGTCGCCGTCAGTAGCATACTGTAAGAATTTATGGTTACGCGCTGAATGCTTCGAAGAGCATGGTACGCTGCCTGTCTGTTGCATAATGAAGTTCACGCGACAGAAAGGAACTGCTAGATGCCTGTGTTCCACCCCAGCCCCGAACCTAAACCCAAATTCTACGAGGAACCCCTGGCCCCTTTTGAGTAATAATGCCACCTTAGAGAATATAGATGGGGTAATGGTTATTCCTATACTACCTATCCACTTGTATTGATAATGGGGAAGTAGTAGTGATATATCGGTGAAGTGTAGGGGGGGAGTATAGGAATAATTGTCTAATGGGGAAGTAGTAGTGATATATCGGTGAAGTGTAGGGGGGGGGGTATGGGAATAATCATCTATTGGGCTGACGGTGGCATTATTACCCAAAAGGGGCAAGGTGTCCTCTAACTCATAGACCGGCACAGGCTCTGCGAGGGGAGAACTTGGAGCTCAAGCAGGCAGATGCCACTCCATACCCACATCCTGAAACGTGGCCGTACGAAAGATCTGGTAGTCTAAAGACTCGAGTAGACTCGATACGTCCTGAAGGCTTCTTTCAACGGCAGTCGATAGAAGGCTTTGGCCATGGCAGCTATCAACATGAATCTCCTGCTACTGCTATTGATTCTTTCAGATCCCTGAACGCATGATTCCTTGATGTTGCTGGAGCAGTGGTCAGCTCAATCATTCAAAGTACCAGTGCCTTGGCAAGCTATCGGTTAGTGAGTCTTGGAGGACACGAGAAGTGTTAAACAAGATGACCCGCATGTGCCCCTCAGCCGTATGCATAGATACTTACTGCCCTGGAACCCCTGCCACGAAAGAGTGTGTCGTCTTCACCCGAGAAGCTGATCGTGCGCACTGACGCCCGCCAATCAGGAGGCCGCCAAACGTGAAAGATACATCGTGGCGCTGACTCGCTTGCCATTGCTGCTGCCCAAGTCCGTGTGTGCCATAGGTTGGAATTGGAATTCCTCGGCCAGGCAGCTCTTGCCGCGGACAATGCTGCAAGCGAGGTCCCTCCTTGAGCTGAGGATTCGGTGGAGGGATGTCGTCAGGGTTATTCTGGGGCTGAAGCTACGATCACGGCATGCGGGCATTCAGTTTCATTTGGCTCCAGCTGCTGGCGATCCCAAAGACAGCCCCCCCTCGCGCCCCCCCGAATGTCAGCAACTCGCGGCAAGTTACTGGAACCACGGCTCTGAGAGTTTGTCTACCGGAAATCTTCTCTGGTCTGGCCTCAGCGGTTTAGGTGGTGCGATCCTAGAGTTGTTTTAAAGAATCCTCTGCAGTCGGCTTGCGGTGCCGGTCAGGGTGTTTACAGGGTTGGCGGCTTGTAGGGCTTATAGGGTTTACAGGGTTTAGGGTCTAGGGTATGTCGAATTCGGCAGTTGATCCCCAGTGGATGATAGGTGCGAGTCGCGGCGCTGAAGCACGAGTCTAGCGTCAAGGCCGGGAGAGCCCTTGATTTCACGCGGACCCTTGCTCGATGTGTCGCATCACAAGAGCACAGAGCCCTTGTGAGACAGGATGCGATGCTGGCTTGCCTCCGGAAGGCCAGTGTGTTGCGCTGGCAGGCAGTAGACGCCACTGGTGCTGTTGTGGCAGACAGATGTAACGCCAGAACAGTTCGGGCGTTGCCAGTCTCTAGCGGTTGTCGTGAAGCATGCGAAGAAGCCCACCTGGCACAAGCATCCGTTTCCCGCAGGAGGCGTGGCAGCCTCCGGAGGCTTGTGATGAAGAGTGCCCTGGTTGCATCATGCAGCATTTCTGAAGTGTGTTAGGGTTGAGGAACCCTAACTCCGAAACCCGCCAATTTGCGAGAAAGTCCTGAAGCCGAGGCTCGAAAAGCTCCTGGCGGCCGTTGCCACGCCGCTGCTGGAGGCAATGCAAACTCCTCAAGCGCCTGTCTCGGCGCCCTTGAGCAGGGGACCCAGGGGACCTATAGAGAATCTCGCCGCATGGCAAGCACACACTTTCAGGCTTATCCATACATTTGACATGTGCAGGCAAGATCAGCTCGGCTGGGCAGCTCCTGTGATTTGATTTCGCAGAATCCGAAGTCTCAGGTATCGCTGCTCCTCCAACCGTCATGGCACGGCGACCTCCGGTCAGAGACTCAGAGTTGGGACCGGCACTTGTAGGTTTGTTCCGCTACTGCTCCGGCTCTCAGGCCTGCTTCACGCCGATGACTCCCATGGCTGTGCAGAGATAACATTTGCAAGGCCAGGACTTGTTGCAACTTTGCCGGAATTGTCGTGAGGGGTATGCGAGCTTCAGAAGGTAGAGTGGGCATGATCCAAAACCCTCGGGATCAGCTTCAGTGTGCAGTTGAGCTTCTCGCCAGACTCGAGCCAGCGTTGCTGACAGGAGTCCTGGTAAGTGATCTTCCACTGCCACGAGTTCGACATTGAGTCGCGCCCCGTTCACGCGATCTTTGCCCGCCATCTTGTAAACGTGAGGCATCTGCCGTTTACCATGCCTGTGCTTATACGCATGCGTGTCACAGGTGATGTGCAGAGCAAACCCAAACCCAGAGAGTCGACATTCCGACTGTCAGGTCTACCTCTGCCGACCAACCTATTATCATATTTCTGCTAGTTGTCCTGCCACTTGTGGGCTCCTGAGTCTCCCCGAGCCAGCTTTGCGATTTGTTTTGTTGCGGGGCTCCGTCAATGTAACGCAAAATTTACTACACTATTATGCTGCTGCTCTAGGACCGGCCAAAGATCCCGTGGGTTTTCCTAGCCCAGGCTTGCATTTCCTGCTTTGAGAGACTGAGTATGATACATGACTGGCAATCTCAACGGACACTACTAGACCATGTAAGAGCTCACTGTTTGTTAAGCTCTCTGTCTGGCAACGCAAGCCTGGAAAAGTTCAGACGTATGTGGAGCGCAGCGCTGTCAGTCAAGGTTCGGACTCCTAAGTGGCAGAGCAGCCATGTTGCTTCCTAGTGAGGCTTCGGGCTCTTTCAATTTAGTCAGAAATCTTGAAGCTGAGTTGCCCCGTAGAGCCTGACAGCACCTGGCCTTCTTTGGAAGGCCATGCATTCAAGAAGGTGTAGCGCTTTCACCTTTCCAGCAGAGGTGCTCGCACAGTTAGATCATTCATGTCAGAAGACAGGAGGTGGATCCCGGCAGTACTTTGCCCTCAACACGTAGCGTCCTGAACGTCACCAAAGCTTATTGGCCCTCGTCCCCTAGAGTAGCAGAGGTAGCCCCATAAACCCTAAACCCTCGCCGGCGCCTCTTCGCCCTTCGCCCATCGCTCTGTACATACGCGGACACATCCTTTGCAGTCGCGGAACTGCGCACCTGCACCCCACTTGCTGTCAAGGCACTGGGATGCTTGGGACCCAGGTTGCCCACGCCAGCATCAGCATTCGAAGGGTTTGCACCTTCCCACCACTACAATAACTTGAACGTTACTGGTTGCTGGCACTTCCACACAAAGCCAACGAGTCCCTTGAATCTGCAATAAATCTGTTTTCGATGACCTAAAGGTCTGCGCCGTCTCCCCGATCTTCACAGCTGTTACACTACTTCCGATTGAAATTCGGGCGAGCCTTGCAGCTGATCTGATACCATTGACAAGCAGCGACTCGTTTCTCTACTTCAGCACAGTATGCAGCTGCAGCCGGATCAAGGGAGCGGCGTCTATGATGGAAGCCGCCCTCCAGAGTGCTCACGCCTGTAAATGCCTCGTTGCATCAATCTACCACAACATCTGTTGCCGTTGCCTATGCTGCCGACTTGGATCAGCTTGAGGAAAGTTTACGATGCGATTGCAACCGGCAACTGCATGTTAAGTACACAGCCGCTTGGAGAGGCAGCACTGTTGTGCGTAAGTCGCTCCATGAAGCGCTTAGCAGTGGTGGCTTCCCTGTGTACATTACTCCTGCTGATGTGGCAGGATGGATACTTCGTGAGAATAAAGCCAGGTCATGGTGATTCACAATTCCGCCTCCTGATTGCTCGGGGCAGATAGAAGAAGATCGGGGCCCGGAATATCAATCCTCGCCACAAAAGTGATTTGCTGGCAATGCCAGTCAGAAAACAGTTGCCGCAGGAACGTCTTATGGGCAAAAAATGAAAACACGTCATCATAACGAGGTTCAAGCCCTGTTAATCGCGAGCCGGCCTTGCATCCGAGTTCACAGCAGTGGAAGCTATGGTATGAACGTTTCATCCGAGTGCGATTATATTTCTTCTCGTAGAGCTGTTGCTCCGATGTTGCCAGGCAGCAAGATGGCCTCAGGCGTGTGATTTTGCCTGAAGGTGCACCCGCGCGTACATGCTGCACCTTTGCTGACGTAGGTTGGTTGTGGAAGCGTGGCCGCGGCCTTTCTATACTGCGGCACCAATTGCGTACAGCACTGTGGAGAGGTGAGCAGACGTGTGAGACAGGAATGAGCCCAATACTCCGCCTCATTTGTCGAAGCGCCTCCCTCTGACCTTGCCCTTGCTCAAGCCAGCGACAGTTTAGGCTTGGTGCCCAGTCAAGCAGTATCAACAAGTAAGCAGTATCAACAAGTTTTCGCTTGGCCTTCCTGTGCTTGCGGCGCCAGCTGGCTCCAACCCAGTCCCACCTCAGTATGGCAATCCAGCCAAGCACACTGCCCAATCAAAAGTGAGAACTTTCCGGCATCACAAAGCTGGGCATGCATGGCCTTATCCACGTGTTTTTCAGGAGGTTCGTGCCTTTCCTGCATTCAGCCATCAGCCAACACCGAATAGGTCTTGCACTAGAAACTGACTGCTGGCCTTCGTGGCTTGTTTCATTTAGACTTTGTTCAATATGCGACTCGAGGCCTGAACCTAGTTAATTACTTAGTTCTTGAAGCTTGCCACTGACAAAACAGCCAGAATGCCCCCAAGAGCCTGCTGCTAACATTGACTCCCCCAGGTGATCCAGACCGCCGGAGAGGAGCCGAACCTTCTGATTCTGCTTTACAGTAGAAGCCAGAAAGTTGGAATATCATTATCCTAACCCCTTTAAGGTAAATTATAGGGGATCCTACCATTAATCCATATTCCAACTTTCTGGAGTTCCCTTTATCTCTGTAGGAGTTAGAAGGCGTAGACTCGCGTCAAAGACTGGATCTACAAGGCCCAGGTTCCCTGAATCCTCCAACGGCAACAGGCGGACGGTGCGGGCTACTGTACAGTGGCTTAGCATCACCGAAAGATACCGAAAGCCACGCACTGACAACATGTTGACATCTATCGGCTCTGAGCTCACAGTGTATCTTGACAGTTTGTTGATTTTGGGACCGGGCAAGGGGCACTTGATAGGCCCTTCTCCTAGACCATCTCAGACCTTTCAACTTGAAGCAATCGCTCGCACAGGAGATCTGGAAGAAGATCCTGGATAAGGCAACGCACCGTCACAGATTTCATGAAGGATCCTCCGGGTTCTTTCATGTTGTGTTGAATTTGTTGGTTGAGCGGATCGCTACATGTAGTATGACAGCTGAGCAGATTCGGTAGTGAGAGACATTTGACATACGGCCTCCAGCTTGCCATCTGACGAGCTGGAAGTGCTTCGTGTCTGCCGTGATGGATCACCACAGCAATAGCAAGCTGCCAGGTGATCAGTGCAGACCGAGAACAAGTCTTCTTGGCGCTTACGGCTCATGCTGACGGAAGCCCTTTTGAATCATAGGAAGACTTCAGGACTTAGCTCAGTACTTGCTATTGGCGCGACTCGCTGAGGTCATATCGTTCAAGCAACCTTCGAGCTCTGAAACTCTCAAACTTCGAGACTTTCGAACTCCGGGAGCCGCGTGCCGATCGTGGAGCGAAGCTTTCAACCTGGAAGCCTTTGCAGTATGGGAGTTTCCGAAAATTGGGGGGTACCTTGTTTAGGGGTCCTGATAATACGGATCCTACTGTTTAGGGTACTGTAGTTGGGGTCCCCCCATTTTCGGACACTGCCATACTGAGCTTTCCAAAGTTTGAAACGGTCGAAGGACCGGAGCTCTCAATCTCTAGAACTCGCATCTCTGCATCTTTGAACAAGACCGTGGCCAGGAAAGCTTGAAAGTTGCAGAGCATCGGGGCGAAGTTTGATGTCAGCTACCGACGTGCCCGAACCTTCAAACTCCGCAACTATTCAGTAAAAATTTCAAAAGCTTTCATAACTGCAAAGCTTTCGAACTTTCCACCTCTCGAACCTTCAAGTTCGAACACCCTTGCTCGGGACACCATTCCAAGAGGAACCCCATGATTGCTCGGTGGAGAATGAAGAACTCACGAAATACAGCACCCCACGCGTTTTGCGTTTGCGTGCCGGTCGCTACGTGGGCAATCGAGTGGTTTCGGGCGTAGTCGTCGTAGTAGTAGCGGCAGTAGTCTGTAGTCGCCTTGTGGTAGTGGGAGCTGCAAGAGGAGGAGTAGTGATGCAGTTGTACAAGCAGATTGCTCGCACATCGTGCCAAGGACTTACCTTTGCCGCCCTTGACACGTTCTGTGACTTGGCTCGGGTATCAGGAGGATTTTCCTGATTCGGTTCTGCTGTTCACTAGATAGTCTTGGAAGCACAGTGCTAGCTTGCCGCTTGAAGATGTCATCATGAAGAGTCACTCCTTTGCAGTTTTGCTTACAAACTCAGGTGCTTTGGTGAAGCAGCCGTTGCCTGTCGTGTTGGAAAGGTTTGGCCGCTCGGCAACGTATTTTGCTGGATGTGAATGCCCGGTACCTCAGTTACATTAAGTCGGATGTAGTTGAGCTGCTGATTTCAACTTTTTAAGGCATCCCAGCCAAGCCCGCAGCTAGTACCGGTTTGGTGCTCCGCAGCCATGTTAATCGTTGGGATACTGGTTGAGGTGGTTTCTTTGTCCAGCATGTCGCCGAAGAGGGCTACTTGACCTTCTTGAAGTCTTTGGGTGGCAATCTGTTCCAGTTTCTTTCGAACAGCAACTTGGATGCAACATCTCGACGGTGACGCATGCAGCGGCAGTCTCGTTTGGCCCACAGTGTGAACAAGGCAGCAGTGCCATTTATTGTCACGCAGAGTGCAGAATATTGGGCGTAGCCCAGCCTGCCAGAAGATGGGGAGATGGCAAGGGTTCTCAAGATATCTTTGCAAAACTAAGTCAACATTTTGCATCACACCATCGAGCGGGACAGCAAGGCGGCTGCGCAGAGCTTAGCTGTTTCTTCCGATGCAGCTCTGTTCACAACTCGTGGTCTTTCAGATTGCACCGGGAAATTCTCAGATGCCCTTCCATGTGAGGTCTTCCCACTTTTCTCGGTCAAGCATGTGGATGGGGATCCGAAGTCGGAGCACCACGTTTTCCTGCTGACCTACGGCACCTCAGAGTCACAGAGCTGCTGTCATGATCACTGCTGTTGTGTCCTTACAGAAGCAGCCAGTGCGGTAGCACTATGACTTTCTGCAAGATGACGATACCGTCAGGGTGCCTTCAGGGTCCATGTGAGCTGTGGGTTTCGGCCAGATCTTATGACAGGCATGCCATGTCTTGCGCCTCACCAAACCACCGAACTCAACAGCCGAACCAGAAAGTGCTGCTGGTTTCGGGGAACTGCGGTGCCGTGGATTCTAGTTATGCGGAGAAGGTCGCAGAACGGTTCTGTCTGACTCTCAAACCTGATATCGCGCCCATGCGGGCCCTCCTCGACGTACGGTCAGGCAGCATGCGACCGGGGCTGACGCCCTTCCTCACCGGCGTGTTGACCAAGGCCGGAGGCTTGATGGCCTTGAAGGTAAGGGAGGTGCAGCAGCTTCAGACTTCAGAGTGCCTGCCTTGATATGCCTTGACATGACATCGGCAGCATGCTTGTGACATATGAGGCCCAATGTGTGCAGACTTATGAAGAATCCCGGCGTCAGGCATCCTTCCTTCTGTTCAATTGCACCGTGGATATACAGGCCGATCGATCCGAAGTAAAAACACCTCCATTCTGCCAGGGCCAAGCTTGGGCCAAGCAAGCTTCAAGGATAAGAGTAGATGCCGGAGCCAAGAATGCTCCAATTCGTCCGGTACGGCGTTCCACCAAAGCGTTGTGAGGTGCGTCGAAGACGTATTCTGGTTCGGGAAGGTTTGAGCCATGCCGTTTCGGGTTTATTTACGTAGTGCAGACTGCGCAAATCACGCAAACAGGCAGAGGTGTCCAGGAGGCTGTCGGACAGCATCAGCAGAAGGAGCATTCATGTCAACTAGCATATCATGACTCGTCCGCGCGAGCATTCATAGCAACTTTCCAACTTCAGGATGTGACCGACAGCTTTCCACCGGAGATGGGCAAAGATGTTCTGGTGCAATCATCATTCCGCGTCACTGCCTCGCGTGTCGGTACCTGGCTGGCACATGAACCGTTGCATATCAACCGTGTGACAGCAAGATGTCGAAGGAAGTCCTGTTCGACGTGAGCGACTCAGTAGCTCGAAAGTGTTTTATCTACACTACTTGTCAACTTGTGACCAAGCAATGAGCAAGATCAGCTGCATGAGCTCAAGATGCATCTGAATGCTCTGTGGTGAATTGGCTGACCGCCCCAGTATGCTGTTGCGGCGGCGATGTCAGGGAGTAGATAGCAGTGTCATTTCAGGTGGTTGGTCTACTTCCGAGACCCAGCCGAAGCAGGTTGACGAGTTTACTTCCAAGGGGAGCTCCTTGGCTGGCGTGAAAAATACTCGTGAGAAGCTGTGGTTCCTACTAGTAGGACCTCAGGACCTCGTAGGCACTCCTTGCTCAGCATTGGCGCTGCTGATGGAATGTGCAGTGTCTCCAGCTGATGAGTGTGCCCATTGGGTAGATGAAATTAGCATTTGCAAGAGTTGCAAGGCTTTTTCGATTTCCACAAGATGCTTTCCGCCATGTGGCGCTGTGATTGTACTGGAGGGAGCCAGGACTGGGCTTGGGGCGTGCGAGGGCGGCAAGAGCTGAGGCCTTTGGACGCGGTCTTCAACTTAAATTGTATTGATTTGTCTTGGGCCTCTTGGATAGCTCTTCTTCGCGACTCGCGACAATGGCTGCATTTTCCCCAGCAGCCGAGAACTTGTCGCCCTTTAGCCAAGCTGAAACCGGCAAAGCCCGCAGCCTGGAGATGAGGGAGAATGGGGTATTCCCGAGTCAACTTCTGCATCGAAGCCTTGGTCCTGAAGTCTCTCGGATCGTGCAGGAGGGGTTCAATGTGACCCAGCTTGACCGAGTGCCGGTACAAGGCCCGCCGTGCAACCATGAGCAGACTGCTTCTGTTGTGATGCCCGGTACTGGGGGTTGCCAGCGCACCCTTAGAAACCTAGCGGACGATGCAAACGCCATCGAGTTTTGAATGGCGAATGAGTAGGAACTCTCCGAAATGGATGCCCTGTTTGCAGACATGGAGCCCGAAGTTTGGGCCGTCATCATGGAGAAGCAGGACAAGATAGAAGAGATCCTCCGAGCATATGACGGCATTGATGCCATCTGACAGAACAGAGGTGCAGGGCCTCCTTGGTGTTACGCCTGGGTTCTTGCAACTCACTGGGAAACGAGACATTGACAGAGGAACGTGGGATGCGCGTAGCTTGCTTTCAGGCGCTTCTCCTGGGTTCTGTTTCAGGATGTGTTGCAACTGTGTGTGTATGTGTGTGTGTGTGTTTTTTTCTGGGTATTGCATTCCCTACCCATTCAAGAAAATTGAGGTTTGACAAAGCCGCATGGGGTCCGAACACATTGAGACCCTCGTGGATGTGCTTCGCAACTCTTGTTCATGCTTGAGGTAACCTTGAGAAGCATGGTTTGTTACCGCTTACCATTGAAAATGAAAACCACGGACCACGTGCGTTGCAGTGCCTTCGTCATGGAAGTCTGAGGCGGGCGTCAATGTCGTACCACGAATGACTGGAGGAGACAGAATGCGACTGGCCGCGGTGTGACCTGGCTCGAATGCATGTCTCGGGTTTGGCGGGATTCGCGGACGAAGCCTGCGATGTGCAGCCCTGTCGCTATTCCAGGCTGTTTCGTGGAATCGCTGCAGGAAGCGTTAGCGCATCATGGACAGCTCCTTGTCAGATGTTATTTCTCGATCAAGCCGCCACGATACTAACTTCCTCGGATGCATCTGCAAGCCGGAACGCAAGTCTTTCTGCAGGCCGGTCCACGATTCGGGTTCCACACTCTGTCACTTCTGACTCTAGTCATTCTAGTCCCAAGAAGGGAAACCCTAAGCCCTAAGCTTCCGACATCCCACTTGCCCAGGAAGCTGCGCGACTGCAAGACATGGGTGAATTCTGGGCCACGAACTCCGTCAGCTTTGGCGACAAGTTCCGTGAGTCCAAGGTGCCGTGGTCACGGGCTTTGGCTTTACTTTCGGTTTTAGGCTTAGGATGTTACGTGCCATTTCTTCTTCGACTTGAGTCTGTAAGCCAGAGTATTCATTCGGCAGCTCTGTACGTTGCTAGAGAAATTTCGAGAGCCATTGGATTTGGCCTCGGCCGGCGCCCACAGGTTGTTGACATGCTCCGAACAAGGGAGCTGCCGTTCTGCGTTTGATCAGACTCGAAGACCCCCCGTCGTTTACAAGGAGTCTGAAACCTGTTGAACACGCTTTGATCGACTGCGCTCCACCATCCAACAATGCACTGCCGTGAAGCACAACCACGTACACTCACATGGCAGGACTGGTTTACCAACGGCAAGCAGAGCATCGCCGCCGATCTGTATTGGCGGAGCTTTGAACTCATTACTTCTCAATGGTTTTGGCCAGGCTGAAAGGTTGGAAGGGCATGCAGCGTGTGAAGGTAACGTTGGAAGCTATGTCCTTCACCCACATGCTCAGAGGAGCAAGGTGCTGTAAGTGCTGTATCCACTTTCTACGAGTTCTCAGCACTCAATCTTCGTGGAGCACCATTCTAGTCATTCTGGTCGAAGACGGTGCACCGAGGTTGCTGCTCGCAGGACACACGGCGAGATTCTTTTCGTGTCACACTGCTGGAGCGCACCGCGAGAGTGGGCCACTCACCTAATCTCTGTCTGAGGGCTCGGTTTATCTTTTCAGGTCTTCCAGGGGAGATTCAACAAAGAAGCAGGTCCCCAGCCAGCCAAGTCCCCAGGTTCCACACAATTTCCCTCTTGGGGCCGCTGTACTGTAGTGGGTTTCTGCAGGCTTGTGTCATGCTTGGCTGAAGCGATGCGTGCTTGATCGTTTTTGGAATCTGCAGAAGCGCTGCTTCATCGCTTCATCCGGTCCTTACTCGATGATGGGGTCTAGCTGCAGCCCTCCCGCGAAGGGCGTGGCGACTGCCGGGAAGTCTCCCTACGGGCCGCTCGGCTTTCAGCTTGCGGACGGCTCCGGAATCGAGGGGCGAAGCGACGAAGGTGCTGCAATTTGACAGTCGATGGAGGATGGATTGTAAGCGAGCATGTGTCCTGACCTCTCCACAGCATTACGAGATTTAGGAAGAAGCCTCTGGCAACAGCCAGTTGCTACCACTTAGCTAACTGTCCAATCAGGAATCACAGAGGCAGAGACGAAGAAAGGAACCCACATGCTTTCCGTTGCACGTCTCCTGAAGCTCAGGCAGGCGAAAGCTGCAGAGACTTGGCTTCCACCGGAGTTTCCACCCTCTGGGTCAGAATCCCCGCCACAGACTTCGGATGTTTTGTGTCAGCTGAGGAGCTCTGTCTGCACGCGAAGCAGGTCGCAGATTCATTCCAGACTGGTGACAAAGACTGGAAAAAGGTCGGCTTTTGGATTGACAAGGCCGGTGGCCGTTTGTCAGACCATCCAAACAATCTTCGTGTCTTCTGTTTGCGACAACTGTTTAGTCTAGTGAGTCTAGTGACTCGTGATGCGACTGCCCGACATGTAGCGCTGCACATAGTGCACACAATCCAACATTGCCTTCGCTTTTCATCAGGCTTTGTTGGCTTGGAAGAGAACCGACTAGCATTGAAGGAACAACCATGCCCTCTGCCCAGCACCTGCCACTGGAGGGAGGGATGCCAAAGCTTGCCATGAGTGCCGGGGATGGGCTCAGCCCCCGATCAGGCAAGCAGTTTCCATTCCCTCCGCCTCTCCCTCGCGCGCTCTCCCTCTCCCTCTCCCTCTCCCTCTCCCTCTCCCTCTCCCTCTCCCTCTCCCTCTCCCTCTCCCTCTCCCTCCCCCTCCCCCTCCCCCTCCCCCTCCCGCTCCCTCTCCCTCTCCCTCTCCCTCTCCCTCTCCCTCTCCCTCTCCCTCTCCCTCTCCCTCTCCCTCTCCCCTCCCTCTCCCTCTCCCTCTTCCCTCTCCCTCTCCCTCTCCCGTCTCCTCCTCCCTCCCTCTCCTCCCTCTCTCCTCTCTCTCCTCCCTCCTCCCACTCCTCCTCCTCCCTCTCCCTCTCCCCCCTCTCCCCCCTCTCCCCCCTCTCTCCCCCCTTCCTCCCCTCCTCCCTCTCCTCCCTCCTCCCTCTCCTCCCTCTTCCTCTCCCTCTCCTCCCTCCCTCCCTCTCCTCCCTCTCCTCCCTCTCCTCCCTCTCCTCCCTCTCCTCCCTCTCTCTCCCTCTCCTCCCTCTCCTCTCTCCTCCCTCTCCTCCCTCTCCTCCCTCTCCTCCCTCTCCTCCCTCTCCTCCCTCTCCTCCCTCTCCTCCCTCTTCTCCCTCTTCTCCCTCTTCTCCCTCTTCTCCCTCTTCTCCCTCTTCTCCCTCTTCTCTCTCTCTCTCTCTCTCTCTCCTCTCCTCTCTCTCTCTCTCTCTCTCTCCCTCTCTCTCTCTCTCTCTCCTCTCCTCTCTCCCTCTCCCTCTCCCTCTCCCTCTCCTCTCCCTCTCCCTCTCGCTCTCCCTCTCGCTCTCGCTCTCGCTCTCCCTCTCGCTCTCGCTCTCGCTTTCTCTCGCTCTCGCTCTCGCTCTCCCCCTCTCTCTCTCTCTCTCTCTCTCTCTCTCTCTCTCTCTCTCTCTCTCTCTCTCTCTCTCTCTCTCACTCTCTCTCTCTCTCTCTCTCTCTCTCTCTCTCTCTCTCTCTCTCTTGAAACGAAGGCATGCGCCGTAACTACCCTCAGACAACCCAAGCTGCAAGACACAGAATCTTAATGTGAAGGCTTGCATCCCGCAGAGCGATCCTGGGCTAATGTCCTGGTGTGCCGTTGCTGCATTAGTGGGACGCTAGGTCCCAGGTCGAGGAACACGATGCTTTCATCCTAACATTGGCTCTTTGCCAACGTGGAGGTCTCGCAGATTCACGTCTCAACGAGCCCCGTTCCTCCGTGCGATGATGTTCGGCCCAAGCAATGTGAGCCTGAGAGCTGGGCTCAGGTGTCAATCTTCTGGAGGAGTTTATTGCCTTGTCTGTGCCTGGGTCATGTGATGGTCACAGCGCTGTAGGGTCTGTACTGGCCGCGGTCGTCGTGTCGATCATTTGAGCCGCTTCCACCCTCGCGCACCCAGGATGGCATGGTGGTGCTTGCTTCGTGGAATTACTTCAATCGGCTGCCCGTTTATGACTGGATGTTCAACAAATTTGACGGGCTGTGATTTCATACGTTCTTTTCGGTTGATGAGGAGTCGTTTTCACTGGATTTCCCCTTGCAACTCCTGCTTCAGGAGAGTAAAGGGCTGGTGACATGCAGTATCGATGTACAAGAATCTGCTAGAGTGTCGTTTGCATATCGTTTCTTCTGGCGCGGATTTCTGCGTGTCGGCTGCGGTAGTGAGTCTCGACTCGCAGGGCAGGCCAACCAGGGCCTATAAGCCTCCAGAATATTTCAAACTACTATATATATATATATATAGATAGATAGATAGATATATATATATATATATATAGTTATGTGTGTATATATATACAGATTATACATATGCATATGTATATCTATATGCAAAGTCCTAGATGAAGAACTGTGCTGCAGCTGCTAGTTGAAGGCCCTGGCTTGGAAACAAAGACCCGAATGACTGTGACCCTCCCCGAGGCTTTGGTGCGTCTACGAATGGGTTTGTGGGCTTCTCATCCATGATGTCATGGAGATCGAAATCCTCGCAGACCCCTTCGTTCGCGATTCAACTGTAGCCGCCTTGTTGAAGAGACATGGGGGTCGGAACTCTTGCGATTTCGAAGTCAGCGCATTCGGCGAAAACACGCCCGTGGATTGTGGATGTGGCCGCCAAGAGAGTGAAAGGCTTCAAGCGCGAGCATGTTGCGTTTGTTCATCCCATATTCCTTCCAAGGATCTGTACTTGGAGTGCATTCGGAACTTTAGCATCGCCAGCTGCGAGTGTGCTGTGGAAAGCGACCGACAGACACCTGCACCGCCCTAGCACTCTTCTTGCTCTTTGCGGCTAATGTTGGAAGGTGTAGCTATGTGTAGCTGCTAGGGTTGGAAGGGATTCCGCTTATCAAGCTACATTGAGACAGCAGCCCCCCTACGCAAAGCGTTTCCTTTACGCATTCCGTGACATTCCCTTCTGTTGGCCTTTCTCCGCTCTCTCCTCGCTCTCTTTCTTTCAGATTGTTCCCGGTGTTCTTCGATCATGTGCTGAAGTGTTTTCGGGTTTAGATTCACTTTGTATATCAGCTTCAGCGGTTTGCAAGTACTACCACTGAAGCTGAGCTGCCCGTCGCATCTCTACGTCATTTCATCTGCAGACATGCGCTGGGACGAGACATCAAGGAGTTCAAACCGGAATCGGTAAGTGGTCGGGAGTTAGTATGCAAGAAAGCAAGTTTAACAGCCAAGCTGCACGAAGTCGATTGGATGTCTGAAACGGCGGATTCGTTGTTGCTGACAGCTCGTGTCGCAGCACAACACTTGGTTCTGCAGCTTTGCAAGGATTTTGATCGACAAGGTCAACACCTACTACAAGTGGCGCAGCTGCATGAAGCCATGCACTGCACGCTGTTAGTCAGCAGCTTGTACTATTGTCTTTGTAGCATGACAGTCGTGCTCGAAGTGCGATTGTCCTGCAGCACGATAATTACCAGAATGATGGTTGAGTTTGGGTCATGATCGACGACTGGTGGTTGAGTTCTACGTTTCAGTGGCCGAATGGTTCGTACAAGTAGCAGTCATGGCCGAAAGTGCCCTGGCACCGGACTCCGGTTTGCAGGGCCTTAATTGTCGACTTGCTACTGCCTGACCGTACAGTGACCCTTGAGATAGACAGAAGATCCGTTACTTCTATGGCTTTGCAGCCCAGATGTCTAGAGGTGTTTGTGCGCCACGTTGGTCGGAAACGGAACTGAGGTCTGTTGAAGACTTCGAGAGGTTCTTCCAGTTCACGGTCATCGCTTGCTTCATCCGCTGCATGGCGAGGCGGAGAACCGCTCGAGCGGGAGCCTCGCTGCAGCCCTGGCCGCCCGGCAAAGGTGAAAAACTCGCGCGCCGTATTGTGAGAACCGTACGTATGGTTCGCATACATACATGTATGTAAGTCTGGTCGCATGCATCCGTAAACGCATATGTATCTATGTAAAAACACACCCACAGCGTTCTCTCTTCATACAATCTGCTGCCTGAACTGCAAAGCCCTGCTGACCCAAGCTGCCTCCATAACATTCCCGCGAAGCAAAGCACCTAGTTTGCGGCCTGAGGATCGATCTGGCCACCGCATGCGGATTTTCAGCGCTGGCTGAGAAGGATTGGTGCTGTGGGTCGTGTGTGGTTATATCCGATTTCACGCTTGCATATGTGTATGGTCATTCCAGTTGGATTCTGCAGCCCCAAGCTTCCGAACAAAAGCCATTCAAAGCTAGAGCTGGGACTTTGAGAATCGCTCTGCGGCCAGGCCGAAGTATTGAAGCAGCAGCTCCAGAGGTGTGCCGGGGGGCCGCATGGGCAATACAGCAAGTGCAGAAATACGGTAGAAGCGCAGGACTTCTGAGCTCTGCAGTCACAATACCAATAGGAAGAAGCAAAAGGCTCGCCTCAGCGACCAGGTCCAGATGTTTTCCCAGAAGCATTGGTCTTTTTCGGGGGCCGAGCAATCCTGACGAGGTATAGAGTGGAATCCGTTGAGAGGGCGAGAAGCCCTGCAACGCACCCGGGCATGGTTGGAGATTGGCCCCGAATCCAAAACCAACGCCTGGCCCAAGAAAATATTTCTGCAGACTGGACGTACTGTCGGAGGTTTCCTGTCCTACCATGTGAGAAGAGAAGCTCTTGCACCGTGGGAAGCGCTAGTCTCCGTGTACTTAGGGTGATTCCTTTGTGGGTTTCGGGTAAGCTGAAGCAAGAGAAGCCAAGTTCCTCGCCCCGCACCCTTCTCGAGACAGCCATGCTTTAGAGTCAACAGTTTCTGTCCGCTCCCTAGGGTTTAGCGTTCAGGGTTTTGGGTATAGGGTTTGGGGCCAGAATGTGAGTCTTTCATAAGTGTGCGGTTCAGGCTCAGAACTTTTGAACGGTGGGCAATGCACAAGACGTTCCTAGGGTGGCAAGGTGTCTAGCTCCGACATCTCTGCGTCGAAGCCCAGGCACGAACTCCAAGCTGCAATGAGTCCGAAGCCTAGACTTCTTCCTATCGCTTCCTTCCCCCTGGAAATACAATCGAGTCAGACGGAGGTGCAAGGGCAGTGCTCATGGCAGTTCTGTTGCTGTTTTGGAGTCTGTACCGTTGAGACGGTCCGAGTCCGCTTCCGAGGTGTCTGCGTGGATGCGGCCCGGCAATATACTGCGACCAATGTCCAGAAGTTTCGAAGTCCGCTCTTGATATGTAGTACGTGCAGCAAGTGACCTGTTGCTGCAACATCTGTGCTGGAGTTGCTTGTAAACTGTGGTTATTTTCCTCTTCGGATGTGACCATAGCTCCTTTGATCCGAGGACTTCTTCGAAGAAGAAATTCTTCCACTGATTGAGCCGCTTTTCCAGACACGAAATGGGCACAGCTCAGCCTCAAAGGCTTCAGATCAGATGGACATATGGCCAATGGGTTATGGGTTATGGCACATACCTGACAATTAAACTGCAGTTTGGCTTCCTTCCTGGCAGCCATCCAGACCAGTTCTCAAGTCGTCCTGGCAGATGCAAGCCTCAGGAAAGAGCGCGAAACTGCCGGAAACCACTTGGGCCTCACCTACGCCAAGGGCTTGCAACCTTGCCTGCATTGAGCGAGACTTCGGCCGGCGATGGTCTTGGCACGTGGTGACCTACTGTAGTCGTCGAGGGAATCGCTTAGCAGCTTCCTTACAACGGCCTTCGCAACTTCACCTTGATCTAGGGGTCGAGGCATTCATCGGAAGTCTCGACATAAACTGAAGAAAGAGTCTCGCACATTCTGTCCTCGTTGTCCAGGAACCGTGCTGTCTGTCGTCTCAGTATCGTTTGGAGATTATTCTCAAGACCGAACTCGAAGCGAACCAAACTTCCTCTGCGGCAACAAGGCAGGAGTTGGCGGAGGACGCAAAGCATCTCAGCTGCCATCATATCTTCGGGATGTTCTTTCGTGTTGGAGCCAAGCCCCGATGTTGGGAGCGGTTCGTGCCAGCGGACACCAGGCACAGCCAGCTGCAGTTGGGAGACTGGGTCAACGAGATTGCCGCTTGGTGCACATATGGCTCACTGGCTGTTCCATCTTCAGTGAACAGCTGTCACAGGACAGAGTAGCATTGTCTTTTCACGCCGTGGTATTCCGCGACTTCGTGTTCCCTTTTGGGGTAAACTTTGGCCCGCTGTCAGGCAATGATGGGGCGTGGTGTGCTGGAACGCAAGAACAACCGGGACCGCTTGTAGCCGAAAGTGGATTGGGTATCTGTGTCAGTCCAATAGTAGCAGGTGGTCTTTTGCAGAGACTTCCTAAAAATCGTGCTTGACATAGTTAGTCTGCGCTCAAGCCTTCCGCTTCCGTATGGATTGCTGCTTGTTAGTCTTGGCGAATGCTTTGGTTCGAAGTGCAGCTGGTGCATCTCTGCGCAGAACCTGTCGTACACGCGCCCAAAACGCGTCTCTCGGCGGTCCCGCCCTCAGCAACTGCTTTCAACCGGCAGCGTCCCCTACAGTGTCATACAGCATGTGCAACGCAAGCCTGCCACTGAATTCGCTTCTGACTCTGCGGTTGCTGGAGCTGACGTGAAACCCTTTTCCCAGGGTCCCACCTCCGACTTCAACGTCCGTGGCAGATGTGGTATCCACAAACAGGCGGGTTAATGACTTGGCTTGGAATGAGAAAGGAGGGTCAGCCTTCTTGTCGTGACTGTGCAGAGAGAGAGAGAGAGAGAGAGAGAGAGAGAGAGAGAGAGAGAGCGAGAGAGAGAGAGAGAGAGAGCTGAGCCCATCCACACAACATAGTGGATGGGGTAGCACGCCTGCGCAGGGCGGGAGGACTGCTCCTGCCTCAAACCCCGAGCAAAGCAAAGCAGAGAGAGAGAGAGAGAGAGAGAATTTTGGCTCAAGTGCTGCACCCTTGTGGGGGGGGCCTGTTCAGCCCTCTCTGCATCGGGGGGGAGACGCAGAGTTCACTCGGGGCTGTTACCCCCTTGGGAGCTTCTGTCGTTTTCCCCAGCGGTGCTTGAGCTTTCCGCCTGCTGCCGTTTTGCTTAAGAGGCCCCGTTGCCAGCGCATTCTCCCGAACCTGACCGCGGCCCTCCCTTCGGGGGGGTGGCCCGCCAGTAGGGGGGTGGAG